AAGCCCTGTGCCAACTGCTTTCTGTACCTTACCTCGTGAGCTGGTGAAATATGTCCCCTCGTTCCTTCCCATTCACAGAGGAGGGAATGAGCCCTGAGCCCCGTGAGGCGGGGTGTTTCTGCGAGCCAGCAGCAGAGGAGGGCAGCACCAGCAGAAAGTGGTTTTCAGGATCTCTGAGGAGCAGAAGAGTATGGCCAGAGTTTGGCCAGAGGCATTCCCAAAGGGTTCAGATGCTCCCAGTTATGAGCAGCACGCAGGGTGTCAGCAGGGAGAGGCCCCGGGGGCCACGGGCTCAGGACCCCAGGCCCTCGACTCCCTGGGATCCTGGGTACGCAGGGGTTCTGGTTTGGTTGTCAGCAGCACCCAGGGCCATAGCCTCCCTGCCAATCATGGGCCTTGAACCTGGGCCTGGATACTGGGGCACCTTAGGGCTCTTCATAGGACCCACCATCCAACTGGTCACCAAATCACAGGCACAGGGATTCCATAGGTTCCCTTTTAAGATTTGAGGCTGCTCAGTGCTCTTATTTCTTCCTTTTCTCCCTCTTCCCTTGGTCTCTGAGTGAACATGTGTGTGTGTGTGTGTGTGTGTGTGTGCGCGCGCGCGCGCGCAAACGCATGTATGTGGGGGTGGGGTGGAGTGGTTGTGTAACCTGGCCAAGGCCCAGTCACTAACAGAGCTGTCTCTCTGGGGCTCGATTTCCCCAATAACCAAGAGATGTGTCATCGGCTCACCTGCCTATCTTCCCTAGGCTCGATGAGGTCACCAGAAACTCAACCCGTTCCACACTGGTGGCTTGAGCCTCTCCCTTCCCCCTTCCCTCCCCGCTTCCAAACTTTCAGTTTCTGTTCGGATCCTGGGTGCCACAGTGGAAGACGCAGCCAAACCGGTGGAATGTGGATTGCTTACAACTTTCCAACCAAAATCCCCCCCCCCCCCCCCCCGGGAAAGTCCCTTTAAAAGGGAAACTGAAACCCTGTCTTGGTCCACTCCCCAGGCCCACCTCATCCTCTCCAAGCTATTCAGATCCCTCACTCCTCCCATTCAGCCTCTCCCTCAAATGATCTGGACCCACCTTGCAGCTTTGGGACCCCGGACAAGTCCCTCCCCTCGCTGGGCCTCCCAATGCACACCCCGTAAAATGAGGACACTGGGTACCGCTTGAGGCAGCAGCAAGGGTGCGGCGAGGTATTTCTGTGTTGAGGCAATCGTAGTCATGAAGTATCGTGTCCTCGCTGTGTGGCTGTAGGGCCTCTCGGAGCCTCAGTGTCCTCATCTGTAAAGTGGGAATGATCATAGCCAGGTCTGGGGTAATTGTGAGGTAAATGAGCTAATGCCAGCAAGTGAAGCCCTTAAATCCACCACCTGAGGCTCAGAGCACACGGGAGCATCCAGCAACACTCACTGGTATGACTGAGTGAAATGCTGCGCAAGAACGTGGTGCCAACTTGGCACTCAACGGTGTGCCCATTCTCTTCTTGACCTGGGGAGAGGAGGCAGGGGGGCAGGAGCTCCCTGAGACAACCCAGTGTCCCTTCTATCAACACTCTTCGGGGACAGGTGGTAGAAGGACTGACCAGGCTGCTCTAAGGATGCTGAATTATTCAGAGGGAAATTTATTTGACTCAATCAATTCCTTCCATGATAAAGGAATCTGCATCTTCCCAGAACCCTAAGGATTCCCTCCGTCTCTTGCAACCCCCGAGTGTCCCACTGGGACCTCCTCTTAGTGACTATTCCTAGAAAGACATGCTAGGAAGCTTGCCTCCTATACACTTCATCTGTCTGTCCCCTCCTAACCCCTTCTCAAACTCTCCTTCCCTCCCACCTGCACAGAGGCCCCTGATATCCTGGTGACACCCCTGCCCACACCCCTCCCCCCTAGCGCTCCAGGGCGTACCTCACAGGGACCAAGCTCCCAGCCTCATTTTCCTGATTTTTCTCTGGCTCCCAGAACCTCAACTCTACTGGCTTATCAGTGCCTCAGAGTGTTGAGTGTGTGTGACCTCAGGGCTTTTGAACGTACTCTTCCCTCTGCCTAGAATGCCTCTCTCCACTTCTCTATTTGTTGAATTTCTACTCTTTTCTTAAAACCTAGATCAAACAAAAACAAAACAAAACAAAACAAAACAAAAACCCCAGATCAAACCTCTCCTGAGAACTTCCAGGTTTGCAGGAGGAAGGGAGGCTCTCCCCATCACATACTCTATATCTCTGAGCATAAGGTTCCCACTACTCTGTTGCCCAAGCCAGGAATCTGCTCCCCACCCTCCCAGCTCAGCTCATCATCCCCTCTCCTCCACGTCCACAACTGCAGCCCTTCTCACCTGTGCCCAAGGCCCGCAGCACAGCCGCCTTCACACTTGTCTGTCTGCCCCACGTCCAGCGCTTCCAGCTGCTCTCCTCTGCCTTGGGGTCACTTTCCAATAGAGGGTGCTCAATGAATATTTACTAGCTGATGGAGTAAATGTGCCAAGAAAGGCACAAAGGAGTGAAAGGAATGTCAAATCAAACACGTCCCCTTGGGCAGCCGGGGTGGCTTGGCAGTTTAGCGCCGCCTTAGACCCAGGGCATGATCTTGGAGACCCGGGATCGAATCCCACGTCGGGCTCCCTGCATGGAGCCTGCTTCTCCCTCTGCCTCTGCCTCTGCCTCTGTCTCTGCCTCTGTCTCTCTCTCTCTCTCTCTGTCTCTCATGAATAAATTAAAAAAAAAAAAAAAACAAACCATGTCCCCTTGGCTTTAGACCTTGCTGTGGCTTCCTACTGCCCTCGGGATGTCTGCACCCTACATCGAAGGTCTTGGCCATCTGGCACCCATGGCACACTCTGGACTGTCCACCATGCTATAACCTTGCTCTCTTTTCTGCCGTTATACAGGCAGTCCCTCTGCCTGGACTGTCCCTCCCTGCCAGGTAGAAGGGAAACACTGGGTTGATGCAATCACCCAAGCTAGACATTATGGGGTCCTGAACTAAAGGTCCAGAGCAGCAGCCAACACCAGCATTTCCCGAGCTGGGGCCTGTTCTTAGGGCTGAGGCTTACATGCATAGCTTTGGAGTTAATGCTTGAGATGCCCATCAGAGCCCCATGGAGATAGCAGGTTTGCAGTTAATGAGTCTGTGAGCCTGGACTTAAGAGTTTGGGGTGTCCCAAATTGGAATGGGACTGGATGGGATTCACCAGAAAAGGAGTGACTCAAGAAGACAGCTCCAGGCGGGGCTCACCAACATTAAGACTCTGGGAGCAGAGCTAGCAGGGGCACCCAGCCGATGGTCATTGGGAAAGGGAGCAGTCCAGGAGCAGGGGGCCCTGAAGGCCGAGGGAAGCAACGGTTTCCAATGGGAATGAGTGATATACCATGTCAAATGCTGCTGGAAGGTGGAGGAGGGCGGAGGGAGAGAGGTATGGACAGTGTGCAGGGGGCAGAAGGGGCAGGACTCAGGGAAGGACCAGGGACTAAGGGAGGGAGTGCGTCAGGAGGGAGGACAGGGGATGGTGCTGAGGGTCCAGCCTAGCGAATGGGTAGATGGAGGCACCAGGCCACACACAGAAGCCTTAGAGGAGGAGAGGTGGGCACATGTGGAGACGGAGAAGTCAGTTTGGGACAGGTTGAGGTGAGGTGACTTTGGGATGCCATTAGGATCAATGGGTCTAGAGAGCAATCTGTGCTGGAGAGGAAGATCTCACTCTATTTCTCTCTCTGTACGTGTGTGTGTGTGTGTGTGTGTGTGAGAAAGTTTATATGCTGATGACTGAAGTCTCTGTCCCTAGCCTAGATCTCTCCAGAATTCCGGCTACCCTTGGAGATTATCCTGGATGACCCACAAGGACATACAAAACAGGAAAACAAGCCCTGGTGGACTAGAAGGGACAGAGCTGTTGGTGAGAAAACCAGAGAGACTCGTCCAGATGAAAGCAATAGTGTCGGGGGGGCGGGGGGAGAAAGTGATAATGGCTGGGACAAGGTGAGGGTGGAGGGCAAGGGGCTGGAGGTGGAAGGGAGATGGTTCTAGGAGTCTGCTCCTGTGGGGAGCTGGAGTGGGACTGCCTTGTCGTTACCTGTTTGTGTGACTGAGTCCCCCATAAAGGGCATGGGATGGACCATACGTGGGTCTCATGGGATGCAGAAGGGGGCTGCTGTTGACCACTGAGTGGATGAGTTAAGGTAAGAGCCCAAAGACTCCATCCTCCAGCCATCAGCACCCTCTGTCAGACCTTTGCAGGGAGGCTTGGACAGGATCCACTCCTGGTCTCAGTCCCAGGTAGACGCTGGCAGAGTGTGTAAGGGGGAGCATAGAACAGGTGCCCTGAGGCCTTGGACTTGGTTGACCACCAGAGGCTACTCATTGCCCACCAGCATGGTCCCTGAGAACCTGGGGAGGGCTCTAGGCCTGGAGTTGCCATGAAGGGACCATGTCTCCCCCTTACTTTAAGCCTGTCCATGGTTCCCCATCTCCTCCTGGAGAGCATCCAACTCCTTGTTTTAGCAGTCAAGGTCTTTGAAGCGCCAGGCTCAGTTAGCCTCACTTCAGGCAGAGGCCCTTGACTGCCAGTCTCACGATTCCCTCGGCAGGATGACCATTTCTGCCCGTAAATGACTGCTGCCCAGTCGGCCTGGAGTGCTATTCCCTCTATGTGCCTACCCAGTGACTGCGTAACCATTAAGATTTAGCTCAAGGAACCCCTCCTGAAGTCTTTCCTGGCCCACCAGAGGACTCACTGTGCCCCCCAAAAACTAATGTCACCCTGATGTGGCACTTTACTGAACTGGCATGTCTCTGTTTTTCTCCTGCTGTGATACTGTGAGAGTCTGGAGAACAGGAGCCAGGTCTGGTTCATCCATTCTCTCCCATTGAAAGGGCTCGATGAGGGCAGTGGAAGGGTCAGGAGTGACAGCAGAAGATGCCACCGACCCCCAGCCCTGCGGGTTCAGTCTATCTCAGCGGGTGTGAATGGGGAGAATTGAAAGGATCACCCCCAAAGTAGAGAGAGCCAGAGAGGTGAAAACTGCTTTATTTGGGCAGTAAAGGGGCAGAAACATGGAGATCCCAGGGAGGAGAGCAAAGGTAGAGAATCTTCACCCACAGAGAGGGATACAGGATTTTGCAGGGCTCCCAGGACATTTTCCTGCTCGTCCTGTCTTGGCACGAGTCAGCCTCGGGACGTCATGTGATGAACCTGAAGCCCAGCTCCTGAAATCCCTGGAAAACAGAACTCCATGACATCCCCTGGAACCCTGAGGCGGCAGGTGTGTCACTGGGCATCCAGCACTGCCTGGGGTCACACGCAGCTCTGCCACCAACTAGCTAGGTGTCCCTGGGCAAGTTGCATAATGGCTCTGAGCCTCAGTGTCCTCTGAGGGGAAAAGAAATAACTGTGGTAGCCACCTTGAGTAGGTTTATGATACATCTTTTTTTTTAAGATTTTATTTATTTATTCATGAGAAAGAGAGAGAGAGAGAGAGAGAGAGAGAGAGAGGCAGAGACACAGGCAGAGGGAGAAGCAGGTTCCATGCAGGGAGCCTGACGTGGGACTCGATCCCAAGACTCCAACATCACACCCTGGGCCGAAGGCAGGCACTAAACCGCTGAGCCGCCCAGGGATCCCCGGTTTATGATAAATCTTAAAAAAGAAAATGCAGGGAATCCCTGGGTGGCTCAGTGGTTTAGCGCTGCCTTCAGCCTAGGGAGTAATCCTGGAGTCCTGGGATCGAGTCCCACATCGGGCTCCTTGGGTGGAGCCTGCTTCTCCCTCTGCGTGTGTCTGCCTCTCTCTCTCTCTGTGTCTCTCATGAATAAATAAAAATTTTAAAAAATCTTTAAAAAGAAAATGCACGCAAAATTTTAGCACAGTACCCGGCAGAGAGTAAATGGGCAATAAATATCTGTTGTCACGATTATTACTATTTCGTCAGGAGACCTGTGCTCGAGTCCCAGTTCTGCCCCCTCCTCTTCTCTGGGCCTGCCTGAGTTTCTGTCTATGAAATGGGCGCTGAAGGACTGAATGACAAAATACATGTAGCAGAAGCTTCGAAGATGAGTGATTGCTCTGCCCCTCCCAGGTACAGCCCGGGGCGGGGGTGGGGGGCGGCAGGGGGGTTATGCCTCCCACTCTTGTCAGGTCTTTCCTGGGCCTCTCTGTCCAGGCAGGACTCCTCTGCCTCCAAGGCAGAGTGAGAGGAAGGACTGTGGTTAGGGAGCATGAAGGCCTTCCTGCCGGCTACAGGATGCTAGCCCGGGAAGGAGCCAGAGGTCATGGGACTGAGGCCGCTGGGGGGAGGGTCGGCTTCCAAGGGAATGGCTGGGCCAGGCTAGTTAGGCCAGAGCAGGCCAGGGGGTGAATCAGCTCAGCAGTGACCTCACTTCCGGAGACCCTGGAGGGGCCCTGTTTAAACCTGCCTTAGGATTCCCAAGATCACAGAGACAACAAACAGAGCCGGCAACAGGGATACAACAGGGCAGACAGCTGGAGGCAACTAGTCCTGTGCTGTTCCCTCCACTCAGAACACTCTTTCCAGGGTCTGGAGTGGCTGACCCTTCATCCTTCAAGCCTTGATTGAGAGTTCCCTCCTCAGACAGGACCTAACCAAACCATTCATTCATGCAACATTTACTGAGCCTCGATTATGAGTCAGGTATTGTTCTAGACAAGACAGATTCCCTGCTCACTCCATATAAAGCAGCGCCTGGCCTACCTTGTTCTTCTCAAACCCAGGGCATTGTTTATCCCTTCTTTTTATTGTTTCTCTAACCAGAATGTAAGCCCCATGAGGGCAGAGAATTCAATGTCAGCTCAATCACTCAGAGTATAAACCTAGCATAAACGAAAACAGGCCCTTGATCCTTGATAAGTAATTGTTGAATAAATAAACGGACATAGAGATCAGAGATAGATGCACACCCAGAGAAACACAGCCATGCTCCGAGGCGGAGGCAGACATTCAGAGAAGCACAGAGGGTGACTGTCAGTACTGTGCCCTCAAGGCCACCAGGGCTTCCTTTCTCTCAGGTCATTCAGCTGGGTTGCTAGGCAGGAGCCTTGTTTGGAACTCTATTATACTTTATTATAATTTTTTATTTTTAAGATTTTGATTTATTTGTTTGAGAGAGTGAGAGATAGTGGGAGAGAGAGAGAGAGAACACAAGGCGGGGCAGGTGGGGCAGGTGGGGCAAGGGACACGCAGGCTCCTGGCTAAGCAAGGAACCTGATGCAGGGCTCCATCCCAGGACGCCGCCCGCAGCACCACCTGAGCGGAAGGCAGAGGCTTCACCCACCGACCCATCCAGGCGCCCTATTATTATTATTATTTTAAAGTAATTTCTATGGTCAACGGGGGGCTCAAATTCAGGACCCTGAGATCAAAAGTTGCATACTCTACCGACAGAGCTCGCCGGCACCCCTCTATTTTACTTTTTTAGGTGCCTTCTGATGAACAGAAATTTTAATATAGTCAAATCTGTCAATCTTGTAAAAAGTGTGGTGGTCAGAGAAAGGAAGGGATGAGTAATCCCGCAGAGTCGCCCGTACCCTCCAGGTCCTGGAGCCCGGGAGGCAGCGGCTGGGGAAGCTCCGCGGACGTTGGCGCCTCGCCCTGCCCCGCCCACCCCGCCAGGCCCCGCCCCCGGAACCCCGCCCCGCCGGCCGCACCCTCCTTTGGCCCCGCCCCTCACCGGCTCTCACGGGCGCAGGGGAGCTAGATGCCTCTTCCTCTTGCCCAGGAATTGGTAGTTAATATTCTGCCATCGGTGCTTCCACCTGGAGGGGGGTAAAGTCGGGCCGACAGGGTGGGGGCAAGGCTCCGCCCCCCCCGGCGACGCCCATTCCTCCTGGCCCCGCCCCTCCGCTCCGCTCTCAGCGGCGCCCCGCCCTCCCCGCCGGGTTCCGCCCCCTGCTCCCGCTCCCAGGCCCCGTCAGGCCCGGGCTACCCAACCCCTGACCGGCCCTCCGCCTCAGGCCCCGCCCCGCCCCGGGCCCCGCCCCCGGGCCCCGCCCTGCGCGCTCACGTGAGGCGCGGGCGCGCGCCGTAGCAGCTGGGCCAGCGCGCCGAGGGCACGTCTGCCAGCCCGGTGGCCCCCGGCAGCAGCAGCAGGTTGCGCGTCGGCCAGCGCCAGGCGGCGCCCGGCGGGCGGCGGCGCTGCGGGCTCAGCCAGTAGTCGCCCAGGCTGCGGCGGGAGGCGGGCGCCGGCAGGGCCGGGCCGCGGCAGCCCCAGAAACACAGCTCCTGGTCCAGGCGGTGTGGGGGCGGGGCCCGGGGCCGCCTGCGGGGGAGACGCGGCAGCCGTCACCCCGAGCTCCGCGGGCGGGCCCGGCCTGCGTCGGAGGCCCTGGGGGCCGGGGGACCGGAGGGCCTGGAGGACCGCGTCGGGGCGCTCGGCCGGCGCCTCCTCCCCCCGCTGCTGGAGGCCCTTTGTCCCGCCGGCGCCCTCCCCGGGGCCCCCTCACCGGGACAGAAGAAAATTCACCACGAAGTGGGCAGTCTCGGTGAAGAGCATGGCGTCGGCCCGCCCGGCCGGCCTCGGCCTCTTAAATACCCGCCGGGGTGGAGGGGGAGGCCTGAAAGCCCATACTCCCCCCGGGACGCCCGTTTTTAGCAGGAGGCATCAGCGGGCGGAGCGGGGCGGGGGCGGCACCAGCCCCTCGGGCGGGTGGGCGGGTGGGTCTGGGCGGTGGTCGGACTTCACCCGCCGCCTTGGTGGGAGGCGGCCAGGCCCCGGATTTCCAAGGTCTCCTGAGACACTCCCTACTGCCCCCCCCCCCCGCCCCCAGGACCTAGGACGGGCAGCAAGATCAGCTGCCGGCTAGATAGACTTTCCCCATCCCACCCCGGGGCGCCAGCCTCTGCTTACAGGCCGACCCCGATGGCATCCTCAGGCAGGACCCACACCTCCAAAGGCGGGCCTGCTCCCAGGCTTAGGATCCCCCACCTCTGCCTCCCAAGGCCCTTTCAAGAGCTTTGCCCCTTGCTCCAGGGCACTTTCAAACGTTAGGCGGAGGGCCCCTCAGCCACCTCTAGTTCAGGACAGGAGTTCTCACCTGGAGACATTCTATGAATGAACTTCTCAGGATCCAGGACCCCCTAGACTGTCTCAAAGTTCCAAATACATATATATTTCTGGGAAGAGTTTAGAAAGGATCCCTGACAGCAAACCCTCCTCACCACCCCCAACAAAGAAAAAGTTAGAAGCCCTTGATCTGGTCTATAACACCCTCTTGGGAGAAGGGGAAACAGGTTCAGAGAGTGGCAGAGAGAAGCCAAAAGTAAAACCCAGGCTTCATACTGCTCTGCCCACCCCTACAGAGGTGCCCTTGTTCTGATCAGAGCATGGGGTTCAGGGCTCAGAGCCCAGGCTGGGACCTGCTCCCCGACCCCCTGGGGATCCAGTGGAACGTGCTGGCCCAGCTCTCTTTCCCACACTGCCAGTTTGGGCTATTTCCCCCCCAGTGACTCACACTGGCTGCTGGGGAGAGTGGGCAGCTGTTCCGAGCCCCCAGGGCCTACTACAGGCCCTGACTTGTCCCCCAATTTTGCAGCCATATTTGGGGATTTAATTTCCTGTTTTCCCCTCCTTAGGGACTCTCCCTCCCCTCATCCCTTCCTCTTTTCTCTGTCTCCATCCAACCTCTCCCTCCCTGATGGCTCCTTCCCAGCAGCAAACAAACAGGCTCTAGTCTTTCCTATCTTTGAAAAAGAAGAAAGCCTCCTTCAACCCCATGTCCTTCTCCAGCTCCCCTTCACAGCCAACATTCTTGAAAGAGTTGTGTACACACGCTGTTTCCACTTCCTCACTCAGCCCCTGCAATCTGGCTTCCTCCCCCACCATTCCACAGGAACAGCTCTGCTCCTCAAGGTCACCACTGACCTCCTCCTTGCTAAATCCCAGGGATGGTCGCGAGTCTTTATCTGACTTGACCCTTTAGCAGTGGCTGACTTTCATACAAATACTCCCTCCCACGTGAAATACTTTTGTGTCCTTGTTTTTCTGGACACTGTGCACTCTTGATTTCCTTGCCATCTTACTGGCTGCTGCCATATGGCAAATTTCTCATCCTTTGCTCACTGCCTAATCATGTCCCAAGGAAATCTCATTGGTTCCTTGCCTTGGGTGTCTACCTCTGTCAGAGACTCACTTCTCTCTTTCAGCCCTGGTCTGTCTTCTCTGCCCTATACCTGTCTCCTCACCCCTCCCTCCCCGGATGTCCCACCTCAGAGGAAACATGCCCCACACCTGCCCTTCCTCCCATGTTCCCTAGCTTGGCCATTTTCTCAGCTGCCAGAACCAAAAATCTGGGTTTTGTTGTAGGCTCTTCTCTGTCGTTTCATATTCAAGCAGCTATGAAATCCTGTCCTCTCCAGGATATTTTATTTTTTAAAAGATTCATTCGTTCATTCATTCATTCATTCATTCATATATTTATTTGAGAGAGAATGAGAGAGAGCCTGAGCAGGATGAGGGGCAGAGGGAGAGGGAGAAGCAGGGTCCCTGCTGGACAGGGAGCCGACAGGGGCTCAATCCCAGGACCCTGAAATCATGACCTGAGCTAGAGGCAGACACTTAACTGACTGAGCCACCCCAGGACATTTAAAAAATCCCATAGCTTCTGTCCATTCCCACTGCTAATGCATGCCTGGTCCAAGGCCCCTCACCTTTCACCCAAGGGGGCTGCAGCAGCCTCCTGCCATGGTTCCCTGCTGCCACTCTCTATCCCTTATGTGGTCTATTCCCGCAAAGCAGCCAGGGTTGTCTTTCCAAAACATGAGTTTGCCCCTCTGCACAGTGTCTTTAGCACTAAGAGCACCCTTGGCACCTACCAACCCCAGTGCCAGGGACATTTCCTCCCCCCTTCCTTGCCTCAGCTGCATTGTCCTTAGGGGAACCATTCTGGACCTCCTCGCTGGCTCTGCTGGTTCCTTCTCCTCGCAGCACTGCGGCCGCTCCTCTGTGGACCTATCACGCAGTCACTAGCTAGTCTAATTTGCAGACACTCTACCAACTCCTGAGCCCTGCCATTCTATCTAGGCCCCTGGGATGTCAGGATGAATATGACACAGCCTGTGCCCTCAGTGAGTCCACAGCGTAAGGGGGAAGGCAGACATGCATCAGGGATCACCGGGCACACAGTGGATCAAGAAGGTGCTACGAGAGGGGAAGCACAGGTGGTCAGAGGACCTGTGTCAATTGGTAGAGGCCTGAAGGGTAAGTGGGCTTGGGAGGGAGGCTGTTCTGGGCAGAAGGAACAGCATGCCTGGAAAAGCAGGTGGAAGAATGTGATGTGAATCATTGAGGGGTGTCTGGTGCGGCTGGATAAATGATGTAAAGAAACCACAGATGAGTCTTAAATAGGAAAATGGTATGGCTGGGTTTGTGATCTTTATTTTTCTTTTTTTAAAGATTTTATTTATTTATTCATGAGAGACACACACACACACACAGAGGCTGAGACACAGGCAGAGGGAGAAGCAGGCCCCATGCAGGGAACCCAACATGGGACTTGATCCTGGGTCTCCAGGATCACACCCTGGGTTGAAGGCAGTGCTTAAACCGCTGAGACACCTGGGCTGCCCTGGGTTTGTGATCTTGATAAATAACTGGTGGGAGGCATCAAGCCAGGAAGGAAACAGGGAGTTAGGTTAGGGGCTTGCTTGGGCAATGATGGGCCCCTGATTCAGGGTGGTGGTGGGGGAACTGGAGCAGACTGGACTGCTGTTGCCTGGACAGAAGTGAGGGCAGAGACAGGCAATGAGAACGTTTTTGGTGGCTCCATGCCTGAAGATGGGTGGGGAGATGCCAGCGGGCACTGGGACACCCCTATACCTGGGGCGTCCAACCTACTCAGTGTCTGGCTGCCTGATGTCTACCTGTGGGGTTTCCTCCATCCTTTTCCATAGAAGAGCAGATGGAGGCCCATGAAGACTGCTGAGAAGGCCTAGGAGGAGGCAGAGGGAGCAGAAGGGGAAGTTGGGTCAGAGTCCGGATGTGACGGGGTTTCAGGGAAAATGGCATCTGGGGTTTCCTCAGAGTCTGGAAATTCCACTGTTTCTGGCTCCACCTTGAGATGCTCCCCGCCCCCCATTCTAAGATGCTCAAACTTGGGAGCTTAGTCCTCTCTATGTTCTTGTGGGGCTGTGAGTCTGTATCTGAAGGGCCACATCCACTGACGGATCCCCAGGACCCAACAGTCCCTAATGTCAGTGTGCGTCTCCTGTGAGCTGGCCCAGTGCCCATGACCAGCACGATCCCATGCGGTCCTCACACTCACCCTGGAGGCAGGTAGCTGATTTATCCCCATTGGAAGATGAGACTTCCAGGGCTTAAGGAACTTGCTAAAATTCCCACAGCTAAGACAGGCAGAACGAGGATTTGAACAGGGTTTGACTGACATCAGAGACTGCTTTTAACTTGTGCTATATTAAGCTCGTCGACCCTCTGGTTGATTGGCTCAGTAAGGAAAGGAGGCTTTGTGGGGTATTTGCTTGTGGTTGGGGTGGCTGCCCCCCCTCATATCAAGCAACAGGAAAGGGTAGTACTGACGTCAATTGTTGCCATGACGATACAGCAACCTTTTCCCTGCCATCTCCATGGTAACCCGGGGGGTCCATCTGTACTTCGCCCCCTCCTTCTAAAAGGGGGTCCTTTAGGGAGGGGCTAGCTAATAAGGTGTCTGAGAGGCAAGTCAGGGGAAGCCGTGATTTGAGTATGCCCCTTTCTCCAGGTCCATCCCTATTCCGTGGGCCCAGAGAATCAGCTTGGGATCTGGGGGTCCTGCTTGGGGTCTGGGGACCACTTTATCTTGGAGGGTGAGGGAGGCAGCTCTTCCTTTCCCACCTGGGGATTCCCCTGGAAATGCCCCCCAGCCAAGTTCCTAAGCTCAGGAGCAGAACTGCTGGGAAGTTGGCAGAGGGAGGCGAGAGGGATTCCCCAACCCGCTCCAAGGCTGGGCATCACCCAGGCCCAGGGCTCGCGACTGGCTGGCTCTCTACTGCCCCTTGAAGCCAGAGGTAGGAGCAGCAGCTTCTCTTGTTTAAGTGCTGGCTGTGCCAGAGACTCCTGCCTGGTGCTGTACGCCACAAAAGCCTCCTGCAGGCGTCATTAACCCCATTTTACAGATTTGGAAATGGAGACTCAGAGAGGCGAAGTAACTAGTCCAAGTTTGCATAGCCAGTGAATGGCAGAGACAGGACTCAAATCTCAGACCAGAGTTGAGGCCAGTGACTTTTCTGTGGGGGGTAGGGGAGGAAGAAACAGAGAATAAGATGGAAAAGGAAAGAAAAAATAAGAGAGCAAAGTAGCTCGAGTTGGGGTCTGTCATGTTCCCTGTCTCCTAGAGAATAAAGCTCAAATTCATGGCCTCCTTGGTCCAGCTTTTCTTTTGTTAACTCATCCCCAGATCCCCTGAATTCTGAGCTCTGCGAGGGCCAGGGATCTGTGAGAGTCAAGCCTGGGTTCTCAGTACCCGGTGCAGCCCAGAGAGGGAGGTGTTGGCAGAAGGTGACTGAACGGACTTCCTGGAATTTGCCTCCACTTTCCAGTCTCCAGGGCTTTGCCCATGAGGTGCTCTCCACCTGGTGGAGCTAACTAGCCCCAGGGTCTGACCCATCTAGGCAAGGTGTGTGTCTGAAATCTTTGCGTTACTGGTTACCCACGCATATGGGGGAGGGCTGGCAGTTAAGTCTTTAAGTCTTGTCTTTTCTTTCCCTTTCTTTTTTAGAGATTTTTATTTATTTTAGAGAGAATGAAAGAGAGAGAGTGAGCAGTAGGGTGGGGTGGAGGGGAAGCACGGAGCCCGATGTGGGGCTTGATCTCACAACCAGAGATCATGACCTGAGCCAAAACCAAGAGTCAGACACCCAGTTCAATAGACTGAGTCACCCAGGTGCCCTCTCTCTCTTTGTAAAATTAATATGTGTGTATGTATGTAAGCTCTAAACCCAGTGTCGGGCTTGAACTTACCCGACATCAAGAGTCTCACTCTCCTCCAACTGAGCAAGCCAGCCAGGTAGCACTTTTTTTTTTTTTTTTTTTTAAATCAGTGAAGAAGGGACTTGCTTGAGTGAGGTCTCTGGCCTGCTAGGCTGTATGAGTTCCATGAGGGCCAATGCCTGTGTCCTTCACATTTTCCGCTGAATTCCCAGTGCCCTGCACAGGCCTGGCTGGTGGACTTGTATCGACTGAGGCTGCAACAGGGCCCAAACTAGAACCCAGTGGCCTGACTGTCCAAGGATCTCCATTTACATGGAATAGAGTTGTTACCCTGGCTCCTGCCTCTCTCTCTCTCTCTGCCCAGGCTTCTTTTCCTCCCAGGCATACCTAGTGTTGACATAAGCTATCTCTGCTCCTGGAATGTTTTTTCTCCATCACTGCCCATTATTTTCTGGTGATGCTGTCAATCACCTGGCCAGGCTTCTACCTCAAGGGTAGGTTCTGCTGGTCCAGCTGGATCAGTTACAGTCTCACATTTCCCTGACTACAGTAATTGGCCAAAAGACTTTGCATGCCACTTATGAAGGGCCAATTGCTTCCCTTGCCAAGGTCAGGTAAACTGAGACAGGGAGAAAGCACCTCTTCCTTCCACGAGCAGATCTTCAAACTGCCTCAGCTATGATCACTGCCCAGAGCAGATAATCATGGACAGATGGGCAGTCTTGGTGGGCCCAGCGACCACCCTAGTTCCTAACTTATTCCTTTAATGTTCCTTTATGTATCTGGAAAGCTTATATCCTTCCCAGCCACTTGAGACGACCAATTCCTTTTTGGCATAAGCCAACTTTAGTTGCTTACTAAGGAGATACCTTATCAGTACAGAGGCCGATATTTTTTTCTCTCTAAATTTAACAGTGGTCTTCTAAGAAGGGAGGTTACTGTTTGCAGGGAAGAAGGCCCTTTTCTGTGGGGTAGTGGCATGGGTTCTGCTGAGTAGGGCCTGCCTGGATGCAGTTCAGTGGGGATAGAAACAGCCGGATTACTCCACTTAATGGAGTGAAATGAGAACCCTAGGGGCTCTCTAGGAATTAAGGGTGGAGAAAGAGAGGAGTAAAGAGGAGAAAGAAGCCAGCATTGTGGCCTGAAGCCAGGTATTCTCCTGGTGGGTAAAAGGGAGAGGGAGGCATAGGAGAGCTTTCAAGAACTAGGACGTTTGAAGGACCAGGCACCAGATGGTCAAGTCTAAAGTCCTCACTTCGAAGTAGACCCTTTTTGGGCAAATATCTTTTTTTTTTTTTTATAGTGTATTTTTAAAATTTTACTTTTTTAAAGTTTTAATTAAAAAAAAAAAAACAAAAAAAAACCAAAAAAAAAAAAAACCAAAAAAACAAAAAAAAAGTTTTAATTTAAATTCCAGTTAACATGGTGCAATATTAGTTTCAAATGTACAATATAGTGACATCCTCTACTCTTTTAATAAGTCTCCTACATTTGGGAACTGCCTGGGAGAGAATTTGTACGGCAGTTGAGAATGATGGTTCTTTGGGAAGTTGAGAATGGTGGTCCTTTGGGGTGACTGGGATTCTGAAGTATTCTAGGGAGGGCTGGGAATTCTACCACACGTGGCTTAGGGGTGTTAAGTCATCTGTATTTAGATTTCAGGGAACAGGAGACTGAGCTGACCTCTGGGTCATATACTTTTGGTATATACTGGTACATATACTTTTTTCTAATATTAAAATAATACAAGCTCATTAAAGCAAAATTGAAAAGTGGAAAATACTTGTTCAGCTAAATGCTATACTTCCAGGCAGCCTTGGCTCATGGATAGATTTTAGAGTATTAAATCTGAGGACACTGATGAGTGTGCTAGACTCTCAACTATCATCTGGGGGAACCTGGGCAAGTCTCTCAAGCCTCAGTTCCCTCAACTCTATATAAAATAGGAATGAGGGGCAGCCTGGGTGGCTCAGCAGTTTAGCACTGCCTTCAGCCCAGGGTGTGATCCTGGAGACCAGGGATTGAGTCCCATGTCGGGCTTCCTGCATGGAGCCTGCTTCTCCCTCTGCCTGTGTCTCTGCCCCTCTCTCTCTCTGTGTGTCTTTCATGAATAAATAAAATCTAAAAAAAAAAAAAACGAATGAGAAATCAAGGTTTTTTTCCCAGTCTTCTTTTGGTCCTACCACTCCCAGAAGAAATCAAGGCTCTAGAAGGCCTGGGAGGCCGCTAATCCCTCCAACAAAGCCAGAGGTGCCTGGGGTCACAGAAAAGCAGGTAACAAAACCTAACTCCATCTCGGGAGCATTAAACGGGCCTGTTGTGGGTGGCCATTCTCTTTATTCTAAGTTGTCTGTCCAACCCCTCCAGGCCAGAGCCTCTCCGGACCACCAGAGTCCAGCACAGCTGTGCAAATTTCCCTGGAAAACCAAGAGGGATGAGGCGAAGGATGAGGTTAGGGGAAAGGTTACCCTGCAAGGGGTCAGGACCCGGAAGAAATGGGGGGAGGGGTTGGCGCCCAGTGGGAGCGCGGGACTCTAGGGTTGGGTCCCTGCGAGGGCGGCGGGCGGGCAGCTTGCGGGCCGATCGACGGGATAGACATACACGGCCAGCCCGGAGTGGAAAGAACAGTTTATGCTGTGCTTTATTAAAATGTGCATCATTCTTTTATTTTAAAATGTGCATCATTGTCTCGTGCTCGGCGCGCGCGACCTCAGCGTGGTGGCCAGCGGCGGCCCCGTCCCCGCCCGGCTCCCGCGGAGCCGCCGTGCGCAGGCGCACTCAGGTGGCGCGGGCCCGGGGGCTCCCGCCCATGGCCAGGTAGACGTCGATGGGCACGTGCAGCAGCGTCAGGCAGTGGCAGCCCGGGCAGCGTCGAAGCGGCCTGGGGAAAGCGGGGCCCGACCCCTGCTGTTGGGAACGCGGGGGAAAGTGCACCCGCCCTGCCCCCCGGAGCCCTGACGCGGGGACGGGGTTCTGGGCGGGGGAAGTGGACGCAGGCGTCCCGGGGCCCCCACGGCAGGGACGCCCCAGGGGGCCGGGGCGGCTGGAGGAGCCGCGGGGGGGCGCCGGCCTCACCTGACCGGGTTGTGCTCCGTGGCTACCGGCTCCGGGCTGTCCTGGGACTCGGGGGCGGCGGCAAGGCCAGGGGAGTCTCCGGCCTCAATGGGGAATCTCCGACCCTGCGGGGGCTCCTGGGCACTCATGTCCGGGCCCGGGGGTGCTCTGCGCGGGGAGTGGCGGTCAGGCGCTCCCGGGCCTCCGGGCGCCCCCTGCCCGCGCCCGCGCCCGCCCTCCAGGGCGTTGCTCACCTGCCGGAGGCCGAGGCCGGTCCCGGGCGGGAAGCAGCTGCCCGACCCTGGGCGCGGGAGGACGCTCGGGTCCAGGCGGAGCCGGGCAGGTGTCTGCGGCGCGCCACGGCCCGGGCGTCGAGGGGCGGCTGCATTGTGACCCGGGCCGTGGCGCGCTGACCTCACAGAGCCCGTTTCTCTCGCCGGGAGCCCCCGGCCGTGGCACTCAGCGCGGCCGCGAGCCGGGGCCGGAGGGCTCTTGCCATGGCCCCTGGCGCTGGGTTCGGGCAGAGCCCCGGCAGCCGCGGGGCGGCGTCCACGAAAAGGAGCCCGTCCTCCGGGCGGCGCGCAGACGCCCCGGGCGCCCCCGGGCGGACTCCCTGCCTGGCTCCGGGACCGGGCGCGGCGGCGACAACCCGTGCTGGGTTTGCTGGTGAGGGCTGGTAAGGGCACTGCCCATTTTGGCCAAGGGTCACACACATTTACATCACAATTGGGCCGGAGTTTTAAAATGTCTGGCCCTCTCCCTCCCCACCCCCCGTGGCTGCTGTGTCCAGACGGAGAATGTTCTAGCGCTGGGGGCAGCTGCGGATGAAGTCCTTGGGGGGAAAAGGAGCAGGCCAAGGGCGATGGTGGAGTAGAGCTGCCTCACAGAGGCAGCATGAGCTGAGAGGGTGATAGGAAGGAAGGAGGCGCTAGACAGCATGGAGGACTTTCTGCTCTCCAATGGGTACCAGCTGGGCAAGACCATTGGGGAAGGGACCTACTCAAAAGTCAAAGAAGCATTTTCCAAAAAACACCAAAGAAAAGTGGCAATTAAAATTATAGACAAGATGGGAGGGCCAGAAGGTGAGCTGGGGCGCCACTGGAGGAAGGGAGGGCTGGTTGAGGTGGGCGGGCACTTCTGCCGGTGGAAAGGATCATTCCCTACCCCCCCTTAGTCTGGAGCCAAGGACTGCAAGAGTTTGTGGCTCTGGGGTAGGTCAGCGGGGGAACAGAAGGATGCTGGGAGTCTAGAAACAGCACAAAGAGCTGTTTAAAAACCAAGAGCTGAGTCTGAAACCCAAGATTAAAGTGGCAGGAGGCAAAGGGTCGTCAGAGGCAGAACCCCAGCCTGCTGGACCTGCCCTATTCCGGGAGAGGGACAGAAGTGGGCACAGAGGCCACGGTCTAGGCTGGCAGAGGGCAGGAGCTGCTGCCAAGGCAGGCAAAAATGGGAAAAAGGGAGACAGGGCTCATAGGAAGAACTGTGAGTAGGAGGCAGGGGTGTGAGGAGCTGGCTCACTATGCTGTGAGCCTGTTATCAGGCCTCATAACAGATTCAATGGTTTTGTCTAAAAATCCCCAAAGCACTTTGATATCCGTGGTATCTCACAGGTTGCTCACAGTCCCTTAGGGTAGCAGGGAGAAGTTCCTCTGAATACTATATTAACTACAAAAATAATAGTAGTGAACGTTCTTTGCAACGTCCAAGCAGCTAGACATTTAAGACTGTTAATGGGAACCAGGGCACAAGACCCAGACAGACAGAAGCTGGAAGGCAGGAGAGAGGAGTGAAGAGTTATCCCTTTCTGGACTTGACATCCTATCTTTTTTTCCCTTGTCTCCTCAGAATTTATCCAGAGATTCCTGCCTCGGGAGCTCCAGATTGTCCGCACCCTGGACCACAAGAACATCATCCGGGTGTATGAGATGCTGGAGTCTGCTGATGGGAAAATCTACCTGGTGATGGAGCTGGCTGAGGGAGGGGATGTCTTTGACTGTGTGCTGAATGGGGGGCCGCTGGCCGAGAGCCGGGCCAAGGCCCTCTTCCGTCAGATGGTCGAGGCCATCCGCTACTGCCATGGCTGTGGTGTGGCCCACCGGGACCTCAAGTGTGAGAACGCCTTGTTGCAGGGCTTCAATCTGAAGCTGACAGACTTTGGCTTTGCTAAGGTGTTGCCCAAGTCACGCCGAGAGCTGAGCCAGACCTTCTGTGGCAGCACAGCCTATGCCGCCCCTGAGGTGCTGCAGGGTATTCCCCATGATAGCAAGAAGGGGGACGTCTGGAGCATGGGCGTGGTCCTGTACGTCATGCTCTGTGCCAGCCTACCTTTTGACGACACAGACATTCCCAAGATGCTGTGGCAGCAGCAGAAGGGGGTGTCCTTCCCTACTCATCTGGGCATCTCGGCCGAATGCCAGGACCTGCTCAAGCGGCTCCTGGAACCAGATATGATCCTCCGGCCTTCAATTGAAGAAGTTAGTTGCCATCCATGGCTAGCAAGCACTTGATAAAAGCAATGGCAAGTCCTCCCCAATAAAACAGGGAGAGAAAGCAAACCCAAAAACCTGCTTCTAAAATGGTGATATATATTTAAGTTTACTTCTATCCTACATATATATATACCTATATATATAATATATATATTAAGTTTACTTCTATAACTTACCTATGCCCTCCCGAGCCTTACTTCTCTTTCCCTTTAAAGATCTTCATGCAACCAGAGGGCCTCATTCAGACTTCCCTTTTATTAGAGCTAACAAGTGATTTTCACACAGGTGTTTCACTCAAGTTAATTAAAAATAGACCCCAGAATCGTACACAGGGTGGGGGAGGAGAAGAGAAAAGTGACCGAGAGCAGTGGAATCACTGCTGTTGTAACTTCCTTTCCAAATAAAAGCAGAAGCACTGGGAATGCAGAGATGGCTTCTCAACTCCTTGTCTTGGTGGGAGGCCTGCTGGGGGCCGTTCCCTGCCTTACCCCAGGGTCTAAGCTGTGTCTGAGGTAAGGATGAGGGACTTCTTGGTGACTCAGACCACTCCTCCTGCCATCCCTGCCCCTTCCTTAGGCTCCACGCAGAAGCCACCCTGAATTCTGTGTTTGCCCGGCCCTGCCTCCAGCGCAGCTACTGCTGGGGACACGAAGAGACCCCCAGACACCCTTCCAGCTTCTTTGAATCTCTTTAATGCTGTTAACGGCAAGTCTGGAAAAGGTTCAGGACAAAGTTCTTTTTTCTTTCTTTTTTAATTACAAAACTAACAGCTGTTAGAATCTTTTTTTTTTTTTTTCCTTTTTTCTTTTCCTGGCTACAAAATACTCTGGGGAGATGCATTATAATTTAAAATATATAATATTGCACAAACAACCAAAAGGTTAATTAAACTAAAGAAGTAATTACAAAGAGAAAAACCCCATCCCGTCAAAAAAAAAAAAAAAAGATTCAACATTCTTTACATCCCACCCCCTCACTGAAGGTTTGAAGTGGAAGTGACCACCACTCTCTTGGCATATCTGACCACAACCCCTTTAAATCATTGGTGAATACACCAGATTATGTACAAGAATCACCAGAGCAGCATCATGAAGCACCAGGGTCTCCAGGAATTCCTGCAGCCCCTCATTCCCCCAAGAGAGGAACAGCTTTACCAGAGTGGAGGGTGAGAGCCACAAAGACTGGGTCTGTCTTCAGGAGGAAGAGCTTTTGCAGAAGCCTGATGAGAGTCTCAAGAGGTTCACCCCCAGCATATCCCTTCAAGAAGCAGAAGGGTTGAGGTGGAGAAGTTGGGCTTACCAGAGGTGTAAGTACTCGGCTTTGATCACTGCTCTGTACCGCTGGTAGCTGGCTTGTGTCCTAAGCTACGGGGAGGTCGAGGTGGGTAGCTGGTTGGACAAGGTATCCCGCCAGGCAATGCACAGAAGGGCCTGAAGTGACCCCCTCCCTTCTTGGGGAGGGGAAGAAATGCAAGAGCAGACTCTTGCAGGTGGCACAGCTGGGCTAAGGACTTGGGTGCATTTGACATGAAGAAGCCCTGGGAGAGGCATTGGGGACATACCAGCCTGGGCTGAACAAAAGGAAGGAGGTGGGGACTCAGGGTTTGGTCTCTAGATTCGGAACCACAAGGAACCTTTCTGGGAATGGAAAATGCCTGGGAGGGGGAGATCCCCAAAGAGAGGCAAGTTTCCCAGAGACGAATGCCTCTTACTCACTGGGCTAGGAACCAAAATGTGCTAGCCATCCCTGTCTAGTCAAGGACAGGTGGGATGACCTTCCTTGCCTGCTTATGGATGGGACAGAGTGTTGTCTCAGCTTCCTCCAAGAGACTGGTGCTTAGCATCTGTCTACACAGGTAGAAGGGCTAGAGTTATCCCTTGGGATTTCCCAGCAAGAGTCCCCAAGAACAGTGGGTGTTCAGCAGAGAAATGTAGGCTCTTCTGGTGTCGGGGGTAGGTTTCCTCCCCCTTGAATCATCCTATAGTTGGCACAAGTCAGAGTTTCTGGTTTGGATTTAGTGAGCCCCTTCCCAGATATGAGCAGAGGCCCAAAGGACCAGCAAGGAGCCACCCAGAATCTGTGCCCAGAACTCTGGTTGACAGAGGCCATTGGGGAAACATTCTCAGTCAGTGTCTTCCAGGGCTGGGCTGAGACGAGCGAAGGGGTGGGAGGTTCTGTGGGTGGGGGAGCTGTACGCTCTGGCTCCCCTCATTCCCAGTCCTCCCACTCTACATCTTCCAGCTGCAGACAGGAGGGGATAATGGAGAGCACAAACACATATTTACTCCTCTGAGTCAAGCCCAGACCCCACCTCCCCTAGCTGCCTCCATTTCTGGATAGCCCTCCCCTAAACAACAGCCCACCCCCACCCCATGCCCAAGTCCTGCCTTGAGCCATACCCTCCTGCCCTCTGTGAGAGTGAACCACTGTCTTAAGGAGTGTGAGTGGGGAGCAGAGCTGCCCTCTGCCTAAGGGGCAGGTCTGCTGCTCTGATCATTCCAGAACTAAAGAAAAGGCTTCCACTGACCAATAATGGATGCTAGAAGGGGACACCCTGTCTCTAGGAACCAAGCTTGTCAGTCCCTTAAGGAGAACTTGAGAGTGGCACTGTGATGAGACGTAAGGTGGCACTGTACTGCAGGTGCTCACAGAGTCTTCATTAGGGGCTCCAGCACCCTACTCCCCCAGCTGAAGTCTCCCCAGGGAACTTTCTAGTGGCCTGCTCTCAGCTGATCCCTTATAGAATGACTCTGCTGAAGTATATGGTCATCTGGTTTTACAGAGGGCTATGAAGATACAGAAGGCATCAAGCCCTTGTGACATGATAGGTGATCATGGGCCTTCTCAGCCTGGATATAGTGAGGTCACAGGAGCCAAAGACTCTCTCCCCAGGCTTCAGTTTTCCAGCATGAAAAATGAGGCCCTGCCTGTCTCTCTAATCTGTTCAACTCATATAGCAGATTCATGAGCTATATGATGGAAGGATCATGTGGTTCTTGTGTGACACTGGAAGAAACAATGACTTGAATCAAATGTTTGGGCTGGACCCTCAGTCCTGTCACTTCTTATCTGTGAGAGCTTTTTTCCCTGCCTTTCATTCAAAATGACCCATTCCTGATTCTAGCAGGTAATGAAGAGTAAGAATAGTAAGGCCTCTGAGCTTTTAGCTGGACTGGGTTTTGTGGGGGCTTTAGTAATGTTCACTGAGTCCTCTCATATCCTAGGCACAATGCCTAACATGTCTACGTGCATTATCTATCACAGCTTACAAGCTTCTAGGACCAGTTCAATGATGAGGAAACAGGCTCAGGTTAAGTGACTTGCCCTAGATCACACAGTCTTTTGCCCCAAGGCCAGAAATCTGTTCAGGTCCCATCCCTGGGGACCATGAGTCAGAAGAAGTGGGGTGGGGTTTGGAGTCTACATTTTTTAGTAGCTCCTCATGTGACTTTCATGCAGAGCTAATGTCAGAAACTCTCCCACCATCCAACCTGGAACTGAGGGGAAGCAGAGCCTGCTGATCGGAACTGTTCAGGGCCTGAGTGGGAGGTCCCAGCACCCTTCCTGAAGCTGCCATCTCAGAAAGGAGTAGGGATCCACTCTGAAGGGACAGTTGGGCCTGATGGGGAGAATCCTCAGATACTGGGGTCATTGGGCTTGCTTCCCTGAGGCCGGCTAGGCCCACTTACCTCCCCAGAGGCATCCACTTTGGAGAGTGCTATCTGTACTTCTTCTTCAGTCATGTCCAAGTCAAAGTCCTTTTCCCAGTCCTCGCTGATATCTGTGCTTGAGCCTGGAATCATGATCCACAGTGTGAAAGGCAGGAAGGGGTATGTATGAACAGTAGCTGGGAGTGATAGCACTCTTTAAAAGGGGCTGGCAAATATAAATCAAAGGTCTTACATTCTATTCTCACTCTGGCTTAGTGAATCCACTTTTAGGAATCTATTCTAAGGGAAAATTCTGGATTCAGTCAAAGACTTAGCCAATAAGAGGTTCATTGTAGTGCTGTTATAGTAATGATAATTTAAAAACCCAACTTGAGAGTTCACTGATAAGGAATTACAAAAATAAATAAATGGTGTAGTCACATGATAAAACATTATGTGCCTTTTAAACGTTAGACTGCAGAACACTTATACACATGGCAAAATAGTCTAGAATTGTTAAGTAAGAAAAAGGAAGCTACTTTAGTGGAGATGCACTTTGGCCCAGAGGCTCCCCAGAGCCACAGAAATCTTCCAGAAGACATAAACAATGAACCTCTCTTCCTCTTCACTTACTCCATTCTACCTTCACTGACTTTGCTCCTCGTGAAACACACCAGACACATTTCTGCTTTTAGGGCCTTTGCATGGGCTGTTCCTTGTACCTAGAACTCTCTCCTCGGACACCCACGGGCCAACTTCCTTGCCTTCTTCACAGCCTTGCTCAAATCCTCCCATCTAACTGTGGCCTACCTTGACTGTTCTACTTTAAACTACAACCCAGGGCAGCCCAGGTGGCTCAGAGGTTTGGCGCTGCCTTCGGCCCAGGGCCTGATCCTGGAGATTCAGGATCGAGTCCCGCGTTGGGCTCCCTGCATGGAGCCTGCTTCTCCCTCTGCCTGTGTCTCTGCGCCCCCTACCCCCCGTGTCTCTCATTAATAAATAAATAAAATATTAAAAAAAAATAAACTACAACCCACTCCCCTCACTCTGCTCTCCTTGTTCTTTTTTTCCATTCTATTTATCGATTTTTAAATATGTCACATCATAAGACTTAGTGTGCTTATTGTCTACTCATAGAAGAACTGGAATGTGAGCTCCCTGAGGGCAGGGATCTTTGTTTTCCTTTCTTATGTCTGCCAACTACTTCGAATATAGAGTCTGGGCTCAATAAAATATTCATGGGCCCTTTTTCTAAACTAGGGTTGGCAAACTATGGTGTGTGGACCAAATCCAGCTTACTGCCTGTTTTGGGAAATTACATTTTGGAGCACAGCCATTGCCATTTGTTTACATATTGCCCATGCTGCTTTCCTGCAACGACAGCAGAGCTGAGTAGTTCCAACAGACTAAAGTATTTGTGATCTGGCCCTATATAGAAAAAGTCTACTAATCCCTGCTCTAGGTGATTCTAATGCCTGCTAAGTTTAGCAATCACTGCTCTAAACATTCATATTTGGTATAGGCAGCATTAAAAAAATGTACATGTGAAAGCTATTACTAAGAAAACTATATAGTTTTTTTTAAAAAGTATATGCAGAAAAAAGTGTATTAGCAATGTGATGCCATTAAAAAAAATCTTAAAAAAAAAGTATCAGCAATGTGATTCCATTAAAAAATATGCTCACAGATCCTTATACACATAGAGAAAAGATGTGTAACATACCCACAAAAATACTAACAAAAGTTACCTCTAGGTAATGAGGTCAGGGAGTAATTTTCCTGTTTTTTTTTTCTCCTCCTAAAATGAACATATTTAGATGCGTCTAAATCTGAAAGGTTTTTCCCCCCTAAAATGAACACATACTACTTTGTATTTTTTTCTTATCTATTAAAAGCACCTTTAAAAAGAGTAGGTCCCTGGGGCGCCTGGGTGGCTCAGTTGGTTAAGCGTCTGCCTTCAGCTTGAGTCACATTCCAGGGGTCCTGGGATTGAGCCCCGCAGCAGGCTCCCTACTCAGTGGGGAGTCTGCTTCTCCCTCTGCCTTCCTCCCACCTGCGCTACTGCACTCTCTCTCTTTCTCAAAAAAAAAAAAAAAGAAAAAGTAGGTCCCTGATCTCCCCCTGGCATGACCTGTAAACATATCCCTTGCTGCTTCTTCAGCTTGCTACTCAGCAGGCACCCAGGCTCTGACAACCCCCCCCAAGCCCTGCCCCTACCTTTGTTATAAGGGGTCTTGTACTGTTCTCCTTCCTAACCACCTGGCCAGCCACAAGCATCCTCTTAAGATCAAAATCTCTGGAGTCACGCAGACCTGGGTGGAATCCCTACTTTTTATCTATTGTGCAGTCTTGGGTAAGTTATTTTGGGCTTCAGTCTATTTATAAAATAAGGATAAAACCACCCTCTTTGCAGAGAACCACAGGAGGAGATAATGCAGATGCCTGCCTCCCCACCCACCCCCCTCATTCTGATTCTGCAGGTCTAGGTGGTGGCCCAGAATTCTGCCTTATAAATAGGAACTTGGGTGATTCCTTGTAGGCCTGGGCCTGCAGTTCTGAGATACAACAGTGTTAAGGTTAGAGGTATCAATGTGCGGTGCATGTAACATGTACACATAGTGGGAATTTAACAAAAGGGGCTGTTAAAGGCACTGACTCAGAGGTAAGTAATGTTGCATGTGGTCCCAAGGCCTCCAGGGCAGACTGGCAACCAAGACCCAGTTCTTCAGACTCCACACCTAAGTCTCCTATGCCTTTGGGACACTTGGTGGTGCCTGATTATCTGTCAGTGCAGGGCTCCTCTGGGTTAGGTGCCGGAATCCTGGCTGATTCCTCATCCCAGAGCTGTGGCCGTGGCCATGACGGCTTTCCCTAACCTTAGGCTGCCCTCCAGGGATTTGAAACTCTTTTTCAGGCTTTAAATGCTAGGGCAGCCCTTCCAGGGGTGGAAAACAGGATCAGCTTTCAGTTTTGGAGTGCTTCACATCCACCCTCTGAGGTGGGTATTAATAGTCCCAATTTACAGATGATGAAATGAAGGCCTCAAGTGGCAGAGATAAGAATTGAGGCTTTCTATGCCGTGTGCCTCCTCCCACCATCCTTTCCTGTCACACGATAAGAGTACTAAGACCTCCATTATGCACATGGCAGAGAACTGATCTGTGCCAAAACAATTTAAGCTTTCATGATGGAGTTTTACTGTTTTGTTTTGTTTTTTTTAAGAAAGGGGAGTTTTCAGGTGATTACTAACCTCACAGTGCTGTCACTTAGCTCATTTTGTTCCGTTCAATTGGAACTCTGCTTCCCCAGAGAAGAAATGGAGGCAAAAACCACTCCTACGTCAGTCATTGGTGAAGGAGGGCCTTGAGCCCAGGGCTCCTTCTAGTCTGCAGGCCACAGACCTGTCCCCATCTCTCTTCCCCTGCCCTGCTGGTCCAGTCTCTTAAACATATCTTGGGGCAAAATGCAGGTGGGAAGCTGCTCTGCAATGACAATGACTGCCCTGGAACCTTGGGAGATCCTATGGCTAGGTTACCCCAAGAGACTCTGCTGCTAGCAGGGACCAAATTCTCTTATGTTATCTAAGGATATGGACATAAGAATGAAAAGGAGTCACTGTCTCCAAGCCTTCATTCTTTAAGGTTCACTCTCTCTACTCTAGCATCTACTGTTCCCACTGTGCTCCCCCAGTTCAATACCCCAGGCTTCCCCTGACTAAGTGACTACAACTATCTCTGGTGAGTCTTCTGCAAACCCCTAAGTAGGTCAGAGGCAGTAGAGCAGGGTGATGAAGAGCTCCTGCTAGTTTCCCCATAATCTCATTTCGTCCCATTTCAACCCACCACTCATTTTTCTAATCCTGCTCTCCTATAGCCCAATTCCCCATGGAGCCTACAGTTCTCTAACCAACCAATTGTTTCACTGTCTATCCCTCCCTTCCCCAGCTGATTCCAAGAGCCACTATTCTGATCACTTCTTGCCTATACTTGTGGACACTGCTCTTTTCTTCCACCAATTTCCCCGGGCTAAACTTGAACCCTGGTTCAATCCAACTCCCCATCTATTCTGTGCCTGCACCTGCATACAGTGCTGACTGGTATCTTTTTAAAATTCATGACTGCTACCTCGAATGGGCCCTTAGTACCACCTGGCCAGCAACCTCCACCGCCTTTTGAGTCCATCACCTCTTTTTCCACTTTCCCAAATAATTAGTAGGTAAGTGATTGATCTCTCTTTCCAGTAAAGAAATGGGGAAAATTACCCAGACCTCTTAGGCTTCTGTGAAGACTGAGTGGCATACATATCCAGTGCTTAGCACAGAGCTATACAGACATATAGAAAGTGCTCAGAGATGGCTCCTTATTATCATTTCCCCAAAGAATGGCTCTACTCTGATTTCTTCCCTGAAATTTTCCCTATTGTGAAACAATTACCCTCGATTTATAGAGGAATAAATGGGGCTTAGAGAGGATCAGTAACTTTTCTGAAGTCATACGGCTTAGGAGCAAGGTTGGGATTTGAACCCAGAACTGTCTGAACCCCAGTGCCTGAGCCCTCAGCCTCTACATGTAAAGGTCTTAGTATAGATCAGGCATATAATGTGAGCAGCGTGCCACGCTGCTTTATGACACTAAGCCCAACCTTCCAAGTTCGGCATAAGGTTAAGTCCTTAAGCTCTACTTCTGAGCTAACCCATCCACCCTTCTTGTTCCTCCCTCTCCTGATGAAAGCAAAGTGTGCTTTTGTCACTGCCCCTTCAATGTGCTCAGTGGCCTCTGCTATCTGGATTGTGTGGGCCCCTCAGCCGAGACTACCACTCCCCCGCAGCTGCCCCAAACTCTCCACCTCTCCTCTACAACGCCTGTCTCCTCGGTGAAACAACTGCAGATGCCCGGAGGTTCCTTCTTTCTCTGAACTCCTCCAGCACCAAGTCTGTCCCATACTGCTTCATGCTTCATCATAAAGACTGCAGCTCTTGCCCCTCCCTCCTCAGTGTCTCATAAAGAGAGGTAGGAGCTCAATGGATGACTTCACTGAATCAGAGCCAGAAGGGGAACATTGTGTTGGAAACTGGAAACCCCACCGTTTCTATCAGGGTGCAGGATATGGGTGGGGTAGGGCCAGTTTCCCTTCTAGGGTAGCAAACCAGTCTCTCACTGCACCAGCAGGCCTGGGCTCACCTGCTGGGCAAGTTTTGTGGCTGACTGGTACCATGTGTCAGCAGAGAGAGAGAGAGAGAGAGAGAGAAGAAGCCTTGCTGACAATCAGCTGTCTCTGAAGAGGTATTCTGGATGTGGGAAAAAAGTCAACACCAGAGCTATCACTGTCCTTTAATTCCAGGAATTAGAGAGGTTCCCTTTGGATAAACAGGCTCCAGTCTGAAATTCCATTACACAGATAAGAAACTAAAGTTTTATTATTTAAGCTGGGTCACAAGTTCATTTTATTCTTTTTCAACTAATGTAAGTTTTGTTTATATATATTTCATACTCATAATAATGCAGTATTAGGGAAGCTAAATGACTTTCCTGAGGTCATCCAGGGTAGAAGACCCTGACTTCAATCAATGTCATGGGGATTTCCAACCCAGGATAAGGCTGAATTGTCCAAATGGATGGAAACTGGCATAGTGTGGTAGCTAGGGCATGGGTTCTGAGTTCGAGAGACCCAGGTCTGAATTTGGGCCTGCCACTTCCTGGCCATGTGAATTTGAGCAAGTTACTTAACATTTCTGAGCTTCACTTCCTTCATCTGTAAGAGAGGACAGTAATATTGAACTCACCGGGCTGTGAGATGTAATGAGAAATTAAATGCAATAAATCACACTAACCTGGCACAAACCTTATTTTGTTGAACCTGAAACCCCAACAATTGTAAGATGCACCCTTATTTCAGAAAACAGGTATATATTAAATGGATGATATATGGTAATCCTTAGTAGGTAGCAGCTGTCATCATCATCAGTATCATAAATGAAGGACAACTGCTCCTGGAATCCTCACAAAGGGTAAGGGCACTCTTGCCTGCCCCTCCCCCCCACTCTCTGGGCTTTGGCCTTGACTTACCTTTCTTTCCATTGTTAGAGGGTGTAGACTTCCCACTATCCGAGTTCAGCTCAAACACCCGTAAGTCTGTGAGTACCTCCTCCCTCAGAGTCTCTACTCTGGCTGGAGGCCTGGGCTCTGGGCCAGTGGGACGGCCAGCAGGGGTATGGGGCTTGAACTGAGCTGGGGGTGGAGGTCCAGTCTCACCCACATCCACAGCCAGGCCCTGTTCCTCCAAAGATGCCTCTAGAAGCTTTTGAGACAGGTCCTTGGGCAGCACTGGTGCCTCAGCTGCAGTGGCAGGTTTGGCAACCTGTGTTACAAGGGAGATGCTCTCACTGCTCTCTGATGGAGTCACCTCTCTAGGAGGCTCAGCTGGAGTCACTGGATTCTCTTCACAGGGGCTCAGGGGGCCAGGTCCTCCTTCAGGGGATGTGGAAGTTTTGGCCACAGAAACCTTTGCCTCTTTTGGAGATGTAGATGAAATGCTCACAAGCTCCTCTGTTGAGAGAGAAAAGGGAAGAGGGCTATGTGCCCTGGTCAGCCCCAAGACAACCTTGGAGCTCTGAAGATTCCTCCCAAAGCTTCTAATCAAGACTAAAGGGGGCTGGATTCCTCACCCTCTCCCCATCATGGTTCATCTGCAGATACTCCCTGTTGGTCAAAGTCTCTCTTAGCCTCGAGGCCTAGCATATGTCTGGTGGACACACAGCTTCTGGCAACACAGCCCAAGATGGCATTATAGATTAGAAAGTTAAGACTCGACAATGAATCAGTTCTCAGTTCAGGACAGGTTCTGCTATATTCTCAGTGTATGATCTTGGACAAGACACTTAACTTTTCTAAAATCAATCAATCAATCAATCAGGCAGGAAGGCAGGAAGAAAGAAAGAAAAGAAAAGAAAAGAAAGAAAAGAAATAAAGAAAGAAAAAGAAAAGAAAAAAAACTTTTCTAAATAAAGAAAACACTTGGGATCCCTGGGTGGCGCAGCGGTTTAGCACCGGCCTTTGGCCCAGGGCGCGATCCTGGAGACCCGGGATCGAATCCCACATCGGACTCCTGGTGCATGGAGCCTGCTTCTCCCTCTGCCTATGTCTCTGCCTCTCTCTCTCTGTGTGTGACTATCATAAAAACAAAACAAAACAAAACAAAAACCAAACAAACACTTAATAAATGTGTTAACAGCATGCAGGTGGCTCTAACATACCATCCTAAGCTGAGCTACCACATAGAGGATGCTCAGCTACTTCCTTAAGCCAACAGTTCCCAAACTTAGCTAGGCATGGACTTTACCAGGGGAGCTTGTTAAAAATACAAGTGGGAGGGATGCCTGGGTGGCTCAGTGGTTGAGTGTCTGCCTTTGGCTCAGGTCGTGATTCCAGGGTCCTGGGATCGAGTCCCGCATCAGGCTCCCAAAAGGGAGTCTGCTTCTCCCTCTGCCTATATCTCTGCCTCTCTCTCTCTCTCTCATGAATAATAAAATCTTTTAAAAAAGACCAAATTGTTAAAAAAAAAGAAATACAAGTTTGGGGGTGCCTGGGTGGCATAGCTGGTTAAGCGTCCCACTCTCAATCTCAGCTCAGGTCTTTATCTCAGGGTCATGAGTTCAAGCTCCGTGCTGGGCTCAGTGCTGGGCATGAAGCAAAAAACAAGTTTGGCCACATCCTCACAGAGTCTTATTTAGAATGGGGGGAAGGGAATCTGAATTTCAATAAGCATCCCAGGTGGCTCTGAAGTGGCTAGTCCATGGGCTGGCAGGACAATCCTGCTGCCCTGACATGTGATTTCTGTACCTAAACCAGGAATTCCACCAGCCCAGGCAAACATTTCCTTGTTAGTTGAGCCTATCCTCAGCACGTACAAATGCTGTATACATATGCCCTATATTTCCCTAGGTGCCAGGTCTCTCCAGTGCTTACATAACAGCCAGACAGTCCCCACAGGCAGGACAGGACCCGTTACTTGCTCATCACCTCTCAATATCTCTTACCTTCTTCCTCCTCCCAGCCAGGCTCTTCAGAGATGCTCTGTTCTGCCCGTTGCTTCAGGGCATCCCTCCGGGCCTGCTCCTGAGTGTGGGGGAAAACATAACCAACGAAGTCAGGGCATGCTCTTCCAGGACCCTGGCCCTGACCCCAGAGTTCTTGGTACCCTGTGCCCTTTCTTCCCCCAACAAAATCCAGTGTGCTTCCCCAAGGGCCGAGTGAAGCACCTCCCCAGGCCAGGCCAGCATACCTGCTCTAGTTGATGGACTTTATAGAAATATCGATGCCAAAATTCTGCATGGGAAACAGCTGCTGGGACCTGGAGAGAGAGGACAGTGGAGATGAGACTTTGGGAGAAGTTGTATAAGGTCTGTGTCCCCAGCCTTATCAGCCTACTCCCAGCTGCTCTGGATTTCAGACGTGGTTTAGTGGCTAAGCAGTTTTCCTCAGAGCATTTACACCCTCCATCCCTAGACCCATCTTCCTGGCCCAACTTGACCAAGGAGGAAGAAAAGAATTTTCATCAGGCTTTGCTAGCCCTTCCATTTTTCACATGACTGCCAGAAGTCTGACAAATCAGCTTTGCCCATGTGGCTTCTTGGCTCAGAACCTGGCTGGTCTGGCTCTAGAGCATCTCTGACTGCTCTGTGGGCCAGGTGATTCTGCAGTGACTCTAAATAAAATGTCCCTCCCAACCTCCCAACACCTCAAACTGAAGCTGGGTTTCCCCACAGCCAGCTGGGCCCTCACCATCTTGGTGTAGAGGGCCCGGATGGAGGGGCTGCCTACAAGAAGCTCTGAGATCTCCCCCTTCTTCTCTTCCAAGCAGAACTGGGAAAGCCAGGCATCAAACAGTTCCGGGGGTCCTGCAGAGGGATAGACACTGATGTCATTTTCCTGAGTCTGGAGAAAGAACACTGGGCCTACAGAAAATACACTTAAGCCTGGACATGGACAGTGAGGAAAGTTTAAGTTTTTTTTCAAAGCTGTTTGGCCAGGGATCCCTGGGTGGCGCAGCGGTTTGGCGCCTGCCTTTGGCCCAGGGCGCGATCCTGGAGACCCGGGATCGAATCCCACGTCGGGCTCCCGGTGCATGGAGCCTGCTTCTCCCTCTGCCTGTGTCTCTGCCTCTCTCTCTCTCTCTCTGTGTGACTATCATAAATAAATAAAAATTAAAAAAAAAAAAAAAGCTGTTTGGCCAAAGATGGGGGCGTCAGCAAGGGTGTTGGAGTACGCAGCCCCACTGATATCATGGCATGGCACTTAAGTGCAGCTCTCTAGAATGAGCTGCAGTCTACATGTTCTCACACGCCTGCTCCTCCTTTAGCCCAATCCACCTGGCTACCGAACCCCCTCCTCTACTTGAAACTATTATTCTCAGGTCCCCAGGGGCCCCATGTTGCCAGTCTAAAGGCTACTTCTTTGCCCTCCCTCATGTGACCAACCCAGCTTCTGATCTTGGGAGCCACTGTTTTCCTGTGAATGCCTTTTTCTCTCCTGGCTTCCCAGGCTTTTGTGATTTTCCTCCCACCTTTCCAGTTGTTCCATCAGTCTTCAGTGGGCTCCTTTTTCCTTACCTTGTCTCATTATCTGTTTTCTCCTAAGATAAGCTCCACTAAACCACAAATTTCAACCTCTTCCTCTCCTGACAACTCAGTCTGTCTTTGCAGCCCCAGCTATCCTTCTGGGCTCCAGATTCAGAGGTCCAGGTGTCCCCTGGACACTTCCACCTGCTCAAGTACAGCAAACCCAATGTATGCTCATTTTCTTCCCTCCCAAGCTCTCCTGCCTACTTATCCACCAGAACCCTGGGTGCCCTCCTGAACTCCTCCTTTATTTGATCACTCTGGATTCCACTTTCTCAGTGTCTTCTATATGCACACCTTCCTCTTCATTCCACCTGTCACTGCCTCGTTTCTGGCTTTTACCTCTGAGTGAGGATTTCTATCAAGCCTCCTACCCACTCAGCCCATCTTCTGTCTTTCTCTATTTTACCCTTTACAACCATGCTTGATGTCTTTTACAAGATGCAAAATCTAATCACCTCAGGCTTCAAAACCCTTCAGTAATTCTCTAGTTTGGGCTTTTTGTGTGTGTGTGTGTGTGTGTGTGTGTGTGTGTGGGCTTTTGATTTATTTTTAATTTAGTACATATTTTTTCTTATTAAGTAAACTCTATGCGCAATGTGGGGCTGGAACTCACGAACCTGAGATCAAGAATTGCATGCTCCACTGACTAAGAAAGCCAGGTACTCCTCTAGGGAGGGTTTTTTGTTTGTTTTTAAAGATTTAATTTGGAACACCTGAGTAGCTCAGTTGGTTGTCTGCCTACAGCTCAGATTATGATCCTGGAGTCCTGGGACTGAGTCTTGCATTGGGCTCCTTGCTCAGCGTGGAGCCTGCCTCTTTTTCTGCCTGCCTCTTTCTCCATCCGCCTCTCCCTCTGCCTGCTGCTCCCTCGCTCATGCTCTCATGCTCTTTCTGACAGATAAATAAAATCTCAAAAAAAAAAAAAAAGGATTTTATTTATTTATTTTAGAGGGAAAGAGGGAGAGTGAGAGCAAGTGAGCTGGCTGGGAGAGGCAGAGGGACAAGCAGACTCTTCTTTGAGTGCCCAGAGAGCGGGCTTGATCTCAGGGCCCTGATCTCATAACCCTGAGCCAAAACCAAGAGTAGGATGCTCAACTGAGCCACTCAGGTGCGGGAGGGCTTTTTAAGCTAGGATCTAAGGATGGGCTTCAGAGGGTCAAAGAATTCCCCCACTGCGTTCTAAAATTTTGCAGAGAGCTTGTCATTTTCAACAGGTTTTTAAAGGGCTTTGTAACTAAAAAAAAAAAAAAAAAAAAAAAGGTTAAGAACCACTACCTTGTGGCATTTAGAACAAAATACAAACCTCTTAGTTTGGCACTCAAAGCCCTTCCAATCCGTCCCCTCACCCTTGGCAGTTCTCATGGCCTCCTTCCTTCATATGCACCTCTGCAGCTTTCCTCAGTATCAAAACTTCAAATGTTCTGCTGCCACGCTTGAACACCCTTCCCCCCACTGCTAAAAGTAAAATGTTTACTTCTTTTTTCTTTTTTAAGTAGGCTCTGTGCCCAGTGTGTGGCTTGAACTCACAACCCCGAGATCAAGAGTTGCATGGTCCACTGACTGAGTCAGCCAGTAGTTTACTTCTATTCCATTCATAAAACCTCAACCTAAGTGTCATATCCTAGGTTCGCCAGGTTGAGCTGCATGCTGCCTTTCTGTGGAAGCAGCACCAGATCCTTCCTGTCATTGCTTTATTTCATAGTTTCCTGCTTCTCTCTCCCTAACAGGAGGCTCCTGGAGGTTTGGACCGGGGTGAGAGTTTGATTAATTTCTGAGCTCTAGTTCCCAGCCTGGCTTGCTGCATGGCAGGGGTTTGGCCAACAAATGCCAGAGAGAAGGCAGGTGGGGCAGCAGGGCTGGGAAGGGGCCTGAGTGGAGAATGAGGGAGTGGCATGAAGTCTCTGCAGACTGGGATGAACACAGTCCAGGTTGAGGGAGGAAAAAGGGTCAATTCATCCCACCAAACATAAGGTACACTCTAGCCTCACTCCGCTCCCTCCACCGGGGGCGGGGGGAGGGCCAACGCTATCAGAGACAACAGGGTGCTCAGCCCAGACCCTCTTCATCTCCCTTCCCTGCAAGCCTGCCCCCTCACCACTACCCCCTCACCATCTGGTTCATTGCAGTAGGTTGCCGGGTCTGACTGTAGGCTATAGAGGCGAGCCTGTAAGAAACAAAGAACAGAAATTCTAGAGTGCATAGAGAAAACACCTCCCCTCTGCCACATACCCTACCACTGTTGTTGATTCAGATGCTTTGAAGACGTCCTTTATCCATACATTTATTCCCACTGGAAGGCAACCTCAACCCAGCTTCTCCTCTGCTGGCTGCCAGACCCACAGGGCACTTATCAGCTCACCCTGTGGCTAGAGAGAGGGGAGTACCAGGCTAGGAGTGCAAAACTGGGGCTTCCAGAAAAATGGTCTTTCCCTAGTATTCTACCTTGGGAACTAAGAAAATAGTGTAAGCAGACTACAAGATTGTATGTAAAAATGCTTTTGAATTATATTTGAAATTTGAAATATATATATTTGGAATTTGAAAAACATTAGTTCAAATATATTAATAAAGTCCAAATTTATAGGCAAATTTTGAAGTAAAGTAGCTCCCCCAAGTTAAAATCATTCATCAAGAATTTCTTAATTTTGGGGGGTGGGGGATGGGGTAACTGGGTGATGGACATTAAGGCGGACATGTGATGGAATGAGGATTGGGTGTTATGTAAGACTGATGAGTCACTGACCTCTTACCCATGAAACCAATAATACATTATATGTTAATTAACTGAATTTAAATTTTAAAAAAGAAAAAGACCCCAAATAAACAAAAAAAAATAATTTCTTGGGATGCCTGGGTGGCTCAGTGGTTGAGTGTCTGCCTTTGGCTCAGGGTGTGATCCTGGGGTCCGGGATCGAGTCCCAGATTGGGCTCCCTCTGGGGAGCCTGCTTTTCCCTTCTGCCTATGTCTCTGCCTCTCTCTCTGTGTTTCTCATGAATAAATAAATAAAATCTTAAAAAAAAAAAAGAATTTCTTAATTTCACAGCCAGTCTGCCAAATGAATTATCTGCTGTGTTCCCGTTAAGGAACTCCAAAACAGAAAATCTCACCTTCCTTCCTCAGCATTATGTGAAGCAAAGGCTGGCTATCTGCACCAGAACTTCAGCAAGTAGCTTTGTGATTCACTGCTATTATAATTTTAAATCCTACAATTTAAGAAGCTTCACACTTCCACTCAAATGTTCACTAAGTGTGGTATTTTATTTTTATTTTTATTTATTTATGATAGTCACAGAGAGAGAGAGAGAGAGGCAGAGACACAGGCAGAGGGAGAAGCAGGCTCCATGCACCGGGAGCCCGATGTGGGATTCGATCCCGGGTCTCCAGGATCGCGCCCTGGGCCAAAGGCAGGCGCCAAACCGCTGCGCCACCCAGGGATCCCCAGGCATTATCTTTCAGCACTAGTATTAATACCTAATCCCTAATACACTTAGGGATCCCTGGGTGGCGCGTTGGCCTGCCTTTGGCCCAGGGCGCGATCCTGGAGACCCGGGATCGAATCCCACATCGGGCTCCCGGTGCATGGAGCCTGCTTCTCCCTCTGCCTGTGTCTCTGCCTCTCTCTCTCTCTCTCTGTGACTATCATAAATAAAAATTAAAAAAAAAAAAGATAATGCCTGAAAAATCATTATGTTTGGAATGGAAATTCAATGTGGCAAAATGCTTCAAAGGCCAAACTGCTTGACATCACACTGTGAATTTAGGAGAAAACACTCTATGAACCATAACAAGTAATGCTGAGAAGATAAAATGTAGAAGAACTATCCTACCACTGTTGTGATCTAGGTACTCTGAAGACATCCTCCCCCCCATACATTTATTCCCAGTAGAAATCAGCCTTAGCCACAATGTTGGGAATATCATGCCTGTACAGCATTCCTTACTATGTCTGAAAGCTGAAAAGAATCCAAGTATGCAACATTAGGGAAATGACTGAATAATTGTTATCTTCACTTGCAAGGACTTAAAGACATTAAAATGATGGTGACTAAGAAAGATGCTAATATTTTTTATATATTTTTTATAGCAGGTTATAAAAGTGCATGTATAAAGTGCCTTTTTTGGTTAAAAAGAAAAAATCCTAACTATCTTTACCAATGTTTATAAGCAAAAAGAAATGAGAGGTTAGACACCAACAGGAAATTGGTGGTTGTCTTCGAGGGATGGGATTATGGATTTAGGAATCATTATCTCCTTGCTTAAAGAATTCTCCAATTTAGTCATATATGTTTATTTACTTTCTGGCCTGAACACATATTACTTTTGTGGGTGCACACGGGAAGCTAGAAGCCAGTGTTGGTAGGCACCTGCAGGGGAGGCTGCTGATGAATACCTTGGTGCCATCATAAGGCTCGGCTGTACCAGAGGGTGTGCCCATCAGGGTGATGACATCGCAGTCTATGGTTTTGTCTGGTGAGGGAGCAAAGGTGTCGGAGATGACCCCTAGGAAGTCAGACAACCCCTTCTTCATTTTCTCTGTTGCCCCCGAGGAACCTTCAGTCTGCAGAAAGAAGTGGGCAGAGGAAACAAGTGGCTCAGGAATAGGCTGCAATCTAGGGTATGGGGGTATGGGGTGTTGAGTGGTGAGGCATTGGCGGCAAAAAGTGAGGGGTGGGCAGGGAAGTGCTTGCAGCCTTTTACCCCATCTCTGGGGCTGGAGAGAGACAGAGGCAGCCTAGGTCTCCATACACCAGATGGGGGTATGGAACACAGCCCCAGTAAGCCTGTGTAAGTCAGAGTAGAACTCCTCGACTGGCTGTTTCATTAAAATTTCAATGCCAGTCAGGCTGATCAAAAACTGGTAGGAGAGGATGCATGCCATACACACTCAGTGGGGAAGAGGACCTATGGGCAGAGTGGTAGGAAAGGTACTAGTTTTGGAGACCTAAACCTCTCTGAATTTGGTTCATGATCTGTAAAATGCGGATAAACAGACTTCCTTCAGAGGGCTGCTGTGAAAAATAAAAGAGATAAGGCATGTACAATGCCTGGCATATAACAAACATTTACTAAAGAGCAGTATTGTAATAGTACAAGTTCATCATCATCATTGTTCAGGAAGTAGAACATTTCGTATGAAAGGTTGAGGAAATACGGACAGCATGAGAATAGATACTCCTTCCTAGAGGCAAACCTGGGACCAGCTGAGGGCCAATGTATGGATCATCTAGAAGGGGCAAGAGGAACACCAAGCTTGAGCCACACTGGTCCAAATGGCCTCAAAGCAAACATAGGATGAGATGCTGATAGGGCCAGGCTCTAAAAACCTTGAGGAAACCATAATATTTAATCCTGATGAAGCTACCCAAGCATTTTACACCTGGGATATATCAGAGTGCCTGCCACATGCTAGCACAGGTATACAATCATATCTGCTCAATGAAAAAAAGGAATAAATAAATGGAAGAAATGAGTGGCATCTCTGCTACTGGCAGAACTCTAGCAATTTAGCAGGATTACTACTTGTCATTCATGCTCATCAGTAGCTCTGATTAGCAGGCAGACAATATTTTATAAGAGTCAACCAAATAAGGTTGGCTAAAAGAACTCCAAAACATGTTTTTCATATCATGGTCTCTAATCACAAGGTGACTGGTTAAGCTGGTGATCAAATGAAGAAAGTGCAATTGTCCCAATACTAAAGGAGAAACTGCTCATGTAAAACCTGTGTATTGTATTTCATCAGAAGCTTGAGATTTGCAGAAATATCCAACACAATTTTACACAAAATTTTACACAATTTTACACAATCTTTACACAATTTTCACTTTTCACACTGACTTTAGAATCTAACTCCTATCTCACAAGATTTTGCTACACATCTTTAATAAAAATAGGGCCAGTAAGAATATAAGTTGGCACAACCTTTCTGGAGGGTACTTTTGCAATAAATATTAAAAGGCCTAAAACTGTACTCATCCTATGATCCCTTCCAGTATTTTATTATAAAGAAAATGTGAAGGATAAAGATTAGCAATCACAATGTTCACTGTGGCTCTGTTTATAGTACTAGAAAAAAATGCAGTAGGAAACTTGGAACTGTGTGAACCCAGAAAACAAAATAACAGGCCATTTATGATGCTGGAGAGCAAGGTTTGCAATGATTAAGTCAGAAAGTAGGTTACAAAACATGATATTTGGTTGATTCCAGTTTTGACAAAGAAAGTGGATATAAAAAACAAATATATCCCCAAATTTTTTTTATATCCCCAAGTTTTAACAGTTGTTGTCTTTGGGAGATGGAATTATGGGTGTCTCCAGGTCTTTTTCTTCTAATTACATGTATTTTCTAAATTGTCTACAATGAACGACTTTGTTAACAGGAAAACGTGCTAAAATAATACAGAAATGGGAAGGTCTATTAATACTTATTCTATGTCACTTGTTTGCTTGACAGACATAATTCAAAGTGGAAGCCTATGGGGAAAAGAATCACTTAATAGTAGAAAGTCTGGGGCGTCCCCACCAGGGTCCCAGGGCAGGTCCAGCTGTGAAGGACAGCCACTCAGAGAGTGGGGGCAGTACTCACAGCGAGCTTCTCCTTGACCACGCTGGCTGTGGCTGCAATGGTACAAGCCGTGTCATGCTGCACCACCTGGGTAAACTCTGTCAGGTCTCGCTTCATGAACTCCAAGGCTTCAGAGGACTATGGGAAGACAAGAGAGGGATGACAGGCCAGCTGGCTCCACCACCTTTTGTTCCTGTGCCCTGGGCTGCTTCTGTCCCAGAGAGACACATGGAAAACTCAAGTGATACGGGAAGCCTAGGTACAGAAACAATGCCTGCTTGTCCCAAGTCCATTACCTGGGATAACTGAAAAGCAGAGTATAGAGGGACTTCCTGCTGCTCTGAGAATGGGGACAAGTCTTAGCCCAGGCATTTAAAAGCTCTGTGGCCACATGTAATTCTCATCTAGTCTTGATTTTCTCCTATAAAATGAGGGAGGTGGCCTAAGTCAGTGGTTCAAGAGCAGGCTGGGGAAGGGGCAATGTAGATTAAAAACAAAACAGAGTCTGATACACATCGCTCTGATATGCCTTAAGTCATGACATTTGTTTCGAATTTCACATAACATGAAGAAAAGATGTGATTTTTTTTTTATCAAAGGAAAGTGTTTCTACCTTTACTTTTTTTTTTGTTATAGGAAGATTCAGTTGAAATATGAGGCAATATGTAAAACTTATTGGAAAAGTTTACTAACATGTTCCATTAGTAACAGCAATAGTCTAGAAAGCACTTACGAGGGATTCTTGACAATTTAATACCAGTAAAAAGATGTGTGATTTTTACATTCAACAAAGGGCGTGTTGAGAGAAATAATGGATTGGATTTTCTCCAAGGCCTTCTTGGTTCTACCATTCCAGGATTCTATTCATCCGTAGAGCAGAATGGATTTTTGCTTCTGTTAGAATGACCTGCTTCCCACCCAAATGCTCAGACGGCATGAGACAGCAGGCCTTCAGCTCTGGTCTTAAGTCTTCCCTGCTTTGATTCACCCTTACCCACTCTAGGGTACCTTCCCAGATTACCTTTGTGTTCTCCCTGGAAAGCCCTCTCATTTTATAGATGGATAATCAGCTGCAGTTTTGTTTTTGTGTGTATGGGGGTTTTGTTTTGTTTTAGCATTTTTGAGGGTTCTGGTGTTTTTTTCCTTTGGGGAAGTGACTGCCTGTTTTTCATCAGCCTGGGAAGTCTCTGAATGGGGCAGTTTTGTCTATCAGCCAGAAGCTTCTCTGGGAGCAGGGAATCATGTCTCCATTTCAGACTTAGTACTACTTAATTGGGATGGAGGGGTCAGCTATGAATTCTCTCCATCCACTCTGCCATCACCTTGGTGTAGGCCAACCTGCTCTTTTAAGTGGATTTCTTGCAGGTTGCATCAGATACCTCTACTACATTTTCCTTGTGACACTGCTAGGAGCTTTGGAAGTCAGAGCCGACCAGGTTGGCTCTGCTTTACATTCTTCAGTGCTTACACAGTATCCTATGAGCAAATATAAAATCTTTACCTTCACTTACAAAGCCCACATAATCTCACCTCTGGCAGACTCTACCACTGTGTCCCTACTGAGCTCTAGCTGGCTTTCTGCAAGTTTCTTTTTTTTTTTTTTTAAGATTTTATTTATTTATTCATAGACACAGAGAGAAAGAGGCAGAGACACAGGCAGAGGGAGAAGCAGGCTCCATGCAGGGAGCCCGATGTGGGACTCAATCCTGGAACCCCAGGATCACACCCCAGGCTGTAGGCGGCGCCAAACTGCTGCGCCACCGGGGCTGCCCTCTGCAAGTTTCTCAAATGCTCTAGCATCTTCCCTACCTCAGGGTGTCTGAACACACAATTCTAACTCTTCAAAACACATAAGTGAACAAACAAACACAACAAACAGACCCCCTCACCTGGTTAACTCTGGTTATTCCTTAAGATCTATGCTTAAATGTCACTTCCCTAGAAAAGCTTCCCTGATGCCATCTCAGATTAGGTTGGCTCCCTGCTTCCCAGGGCACCTGTATGTTCTCTAACATTTATCATGCTGTAGGCTTATGATTACCCATACAGTATCTAACTTCCTGGTTAAACGGAGTTCTGTGAACATAGAGCCTGTGATTTTCCTCACTGATCCTTTCCCAGTATGTGACATAGAACCTGGTACAGAGTAAGTGCTCAGAGAATGCTTGCTTGTTAAATTTACATGTACCAGGGCTATTTCAATTATATAACCATTACCATATGATTTGATGAATGGCTGTCTCCCTCACTAGACTGTGGGCTTTGAGGGGACCAATATCAATATGAACAGGCATGGTGCCTGCCCTCAAGAAGGTCATCGCCCACCAGGCAAAATGCTCAAATAACAGGGCCAATGTGCAAGAGCAGAGTTGTGACCAATGTATTATCAGGCAGTTGGAAAGACTTGGTGACTGAGCACCTAAAAGAATGAGTAGTCAGCAAAAGAAGCCAGGGCATGGCAGGGCACAGGGTTTACTGAGGCCTTTGAGCACTTCAGTCCTAATGAACATTCAAGGTAGAGCAGAAGTAGTTTGGAATAAAGCTGGAGAGGCTGCAAGGGCAACTATGGTGGGCCTGGGTCAGCCCTGTGAGTGATAGGAAGCCACCAAGAGTTTGAAGGAGGTAGGACATGACAAGATCGGCATTTTGGATAGGTCACTCTAGTGACTGGCACTGAATGTCATGGATAGGTCCAAAAAGTGATAAGATTAGGAGAACCAGTCTATAATAGCTGCTATAATTCAGAAAAGAAAAGAATATGAATAAGGATAGAGCTGGTCAGGATGAAAGGATGGGACAAATTCAAGAAATATTAGGCAAAAAAAGGTATATTTGGGGATTAAATCGGCGTGTTGAGTGAGGGCAAGAAAGAATCAAGGAAGAGCCACTGGCTGCTAAACTAGGGGACCTCATAGATACAGTGCTGCCAACTAAGAGAGAAAATGGGGAAGGTGGAGCAGGCTTAGAATGATGATGATGATAATGATTTTGGTCGTGCAGAACGTGTGATGACAGTGGGGTATCTGGGATAGCTGTCCAGCATGAGCTATTCTCAACCACTAAAGCTCAGAGAAAAGGATTAGGAGTCATGGTATTATGAAAATGGAGGAGGTCACCCAGGAAGAGTTTGTAGAGTGAATAAAGCAATGAGCTGAGGACAAAATCCCTCAAACATCACACCTTTAAGGGACAGGAAAGGGAAGTTATGAAACAGGAAAGAAAAGCTTGGAGATGTGGAGAATTGAGAGAGAAACATACCACAAAGCCAAGGGAGTAGTGTTTCAAGAAAGAGGGAGTGATCACTAGTGTCAAATGCAGCTGAGAGGCCCTGAAAGATAAGAGCTGAAAACCACCCACTGGATTTGGCAAAGTGGTAGGTGAAGCTGAGTGTGTTTACAGATAAGCTTACATGTGGTGGCTGCAGGGAATGGGGGGTGGTGGTGGTTATGAAAGACCATACTGTTTTGTTTTGTTTTTAAAGATTTTTATTTATTTATTTATTCATAAAGACAGAGAGAGAGAGAGAGACAGAGACACAGGCAGAGGGAGAAGCAGGCTCCTTGCAGGGAGCCTGACGTGGGACTTGATCCAGGATCTCCAGGATCACGCCCTGGGCTGCAAGCAGCGCTAAACCGCTGTGCCACCGGGGCTGCCCGAAAGACCATACTGTTGACCTCAAATATAAAAAGTAGGAGGTGAGGTTGTCTCCTAGGGGTGAAAGAGGAAGTAGGTGAATAGGGGACCTGAGGGAAGTTAGGTTTGGGGAAAGCTCCTGAAGATAAGGGGAAGAACAGCAAATCAGAGCCTGAAAAAGATGCTGGGGGGTGCTCAGGCCTAAATAAAGTTAGGAAATCTGTCGTTGGACCAAAGAGCAATATGACCCTATCAGTGTCTGTGGGTAAATGCAAACACAGACATACACTATAGAAGAAGGTAAGGAGTAGAGGAAGGTAGATTAGAGCACCATGTCAGAACTGTATAGTCTCTAGGGCAATGTATGCTAATGGGTGCAAGAGAACTGAAGGTCCTGGGAACTGAGTGGTCTAGATGGATCCAGGAGAGGAAGGCAAGGGAGCAAGGCCAGGAGAGCACTGAAAGACCAAGGAAAAAATTGAAGTAAAAATGGACTGGTTGTGTTTAAGAGGTTTCCCCAGCACCCTCCTCAGCACTTAATAAAAATAACTAATGTTAATGTACTACACACAGTGTGCTAAGTATTGTTCCTGATGCTTTACACACGTTATCACTTAATCCTCACAACAGTACTATCAGGCAGGTATTATCAATACTCTCATTTTGCAGGCAAGGAACTGAGGCCTAGAGAGGTTAAAGAACTTGTCCAAGTTGACATAACAGTAACTAGCTGAGAGAGAAATTAAGTTCCCTCTTTCTAATGGGGAACTGTCAAAGGCAAAAAACAACATCACACCCTTGCTTCAAAAACACGGAGCTCCTCAAGAAAGAAGATGGGAAGCTAACCAACTATCTACTTTTCATGAGTTATGGTAAGTCCAGTCCTGAGGGAAACACACAGGAGGTCCTTGCCCAATGCTTGCTGAATACATGTCAGATTCTCCTCCCAGGAGATCGCTCAACAGTACTTTGAGGTCTTCTCAAATGAACTTCAGTGTGAAATTCTCTTAGTCCTCATCAACAACCTAAACAACTCAGGGGACTCTCAGATTTGCTAGGCTGTAGCTGAGAGGCTATTCAGGAGTATGCAGGCTAAAGGAGGCATTAAAATGCTGCCAGAGTAGAGGATGGATTTTAGCCAAGATCAGAAGCCTCCTGGAGTCTGCCCTGAAGCAGGACTCACCCCAATTTCTTGAAGTAAACAGTAATTAACTTTTTTTTTTCTCCACAATTCACTTGGGCTGGTTTTGACAAACTAGCATGGAGTGGGACAGAAACACAGGACAGCCTTGTCCACTGGCAGAGCCAAGGCTCACTCATCCCACAGGGACTGCTGCCTCCCCATTAGGCTGTGAGCTTTGAGAGGCCCAGGACAGCATCTGTACCCCCAGGGCCTGTCAGAGGGTGCTGGCTGTGGCATTCTAGTATTTGGATGACTATAGCAATAGGTTTCTTTCTTTTTTTTTTTTTTTTTTAGCAATAGGTTTCTATTGGAAGAATTCTTCTTCAAGGCCTAGATCAAAGGTTCTCTCTTCTACGAAGCTGTGAATTTCCTGAGCTGGAATAAACTGCCCTTCCTATGGATTCCTACAAAAAGGTCGCTCCAGCCTTTAAAACATTCTGTATTTCACCATGGCTAGTGTCACGCCGGTCTGAATCGGGGTCAGTCCTCCCTGAGACCCAAAGGGGATAACAGCAAGGCCTGGGTGGGCCTCGTCTCTGGCTGGGCGGGGCCGCTCGGACCTGCTCGCAGGAGGCGGCGCGAGGCCCCGGCGGAGGAAGGGCGCCGCCGGGCTTACCTTCTCCTTGACTGCCTGGTAGCTCTGCTGCAGCCAGCTCCGCCACCAGCCCACGTCCTCCCTGTGAAGACAGACATATCTGGCGGCCCTGCGGTGCGACTCCTGCCCGCGCATGATCGGGTCTCAGTTCCCCCCTCAGATGTGGTCCGCGGGCCGAGACTTGGCAGACCGCTTCCCCACCCCCTCACACTGCGACTCCACCCCGCCTTTTCAGCTCCGTCCACTCCCGGACTGGCCTCTTGTTCCCCTCGGGGACCCTGGCCCAGAACCCCGACCCGGGGAGAATTCAAGCCCCAACGCCCGAGAGCTGGATGACGGGCTCACCCTTCCGCCATCTTGCCTGCATGACATCACCACTATTTACTGACCTCTGACTTCCGACACGGCACCGCCCCCTCAAGTACCGCCCCGGAGCGCTCGGCCCAATCGTCGCGCTGACACCGCCCTCGGCCCAATCACCGCTCCGCTTCATCACTAGGCCCCGCCTCCTTGAGCTCCGTCCACTTTCCGTCTGGAGTTCGCTCTTAAACTCCGCCCCTGAGCTCTTGGTCCAATCCCTACTCAGTTCGGTTCTCGGGCCCACCCACCCCCAAGCGTTGGCCCAGTCCTTCCAACAACTACTTATCATCAGCTGACTTCGGTTACGGTGGCTGGGGTGGGCCACTTCCGCGGGCTTGGACCCCGGAAGTGCGGGAGCCCATGGGGAGCGAGGGAGGGAGCCGGGCTGGCGCTCGAAAGTGTGGATCCTAGAGCGCAGGCCTAGGACCACCCCCCTTTATGAAACAAGCCGCGTAGTCGCTGCTTGGGGTCTCTTCGGGCTAATTCACCTGGCGCAGAGCGGGGCCCTGGGCCAGGGTCGGCAGGTGTATGGAGAAAAGCTATTCATCGAAGTTGACTTCGATGCGGCCTCTGGAGGGGCCCTGAGGGTACTGTGGAGACCGACACACCTTCAACTACCTCAGCTTTTGGCCGCCCGAACTAGAACTTCGCGAGCTGGAGCTGGACGTTGGATTGACTTTTGAAACGGGAGACAGAGACAGAGACTCTGGATCTGCTACCCATCAAATCCGATCACCTCTTGTACTGCTTTAGTTACCCCCCCCTTCCCTTTTCTCTCTTTACAGGATTGTTCCTGTCGTCACACTTGCTAATTCTCCCATCTTAAAAACATGGAAATAAATACCAACCGTCTCTTGACCTAGCACCGTTTCCCTAATCTTTACAGCAAAACTCCTCTAAGACTTGCCTATACTCGTTTTCTCCAACTCCCATCTCCTTCCATTCTGTCTTGAATTCACTTCAGTTAGGTTTTTGCCTCCTCACCGTCCATTGAAATAACTTTTATTAAGATAGAGCAATGACCAATTTTCAATCCTTTGGACCAACAACGTCTTGACACAGTTGATCACCTTCCTTTTTTTATTTTTTTTTATTTTTATTTTTTTTCATTCATGATAGTCACAGAGAGAGAGAGAGAGAGAGAGGCAGAGACACAGGCAGAGGGAGAAGCAGGCCCCATGCACCGGGAGCCCGACGTGGGATTCGATCCTGGGTGTCCAGGATCGCGCCCCGGGCCAAAGGCAGGCGCCAAACCGCTGCGCCACCCAGGGATCCCTGATCACCTTCCTTTTTAAAACACTTTCTTCACTTGGCTTCCAGGGCAGGGCACCAATGCCCTTCTGACTTTCCTCCTACCTCACTCACTGGCATCTCCTTCTCAGTATTCTCTACCGTTTTTTCACGGACTCTTGTTGCTGGAATGTCCCAAGGCTCAATCCTTGACCCTCTCCTTTTCAGTGTCTGCAGTCATTCCCCAGATGATCTCATCGAGTCTCATGATTTTAAATGCCATCTGTACACTGGTGACTCTCAACTCTCTTTAACCCATACGTCTCTCAATACCAGGATCATTATCTCTATTTGGTTGTATAATAGTCATATTAAACTTAACATGTCCCCCAACTCCTGATGTATCAAACTCAACTTCCTGCAAACATCCTCAAAGCTGTAAATGATAACCTCATTCCCCAGTTGCTCAAGTCAAAAACAGGGGAGATATTTTTTATTTCTCTTTTTCACTCCAAAGCTAATTCTTTGGCAAATTTATTGGTTCTACTTTTATTTATTTATTTATTTATTTATTTATTTATTGAGAGGGAGAGAGGGGAGAGGGCAGAGAGAGAGGAAAAGAGAGAATCTTAAGCAGACTCCACATTCACTGACGCTCCATCTCACAACCCTGAGATCATGATCTGAGGCAAAATCAAAGGTTAACTGATTGTGTTGGCTCTACCTTTATTTTTTTATTTTTATTTTTTAAAGATTTATTTTTTTATTTATGATAGAGAGAGAGAGAGAAAGGCAGAGACACAGGAGGAGGGAGAAGCAGGCTCCATGCCAGGAGCCTGACGTGGGACTCGATCCCGGGACTCCAGGATCGAGCCCTGGGCCAAAGGCAGGTGCTAAACCGCTGTGGCTCTACCTTTAAAACAAAATTAGAATCTGGTCACTTCTTATTACCTCTACTGCTACTATGTAAATCCCAGCCACTATATTTCTCACCTAGATAAACTCAAGAGTCTTTTTTTTTTTTTCAAGAGTCTTTTAACTGGCATCTCTTTGTCTGCTCTTGCCTTCCTATAGTATAGTCTCAATTCATCTTGAAAGTAATGTCTTGAAAAACATAAGAGAGTGGGAATGTAAAATGGTGCAGTTGCAATGGAAAACAATATGATAATTCCTCTAAAAACTGAACATAGAATTACTATATGATCCAGCAATTCCACTTCTTGGTATATGCCCCAAAGAATTGCAAGCAGGAATTCTTCTTTTTTTTTTTTTAAGATTTTATCATTTATTTGAGAGAGATGAGGGGAGAGCACAGAGGGAGAGGGAGAAGCAGACTCCTCACTGAGCAGGGAGCCTGACTCCTGGCATAATCCCAGGACTCTGAGATCATGACCTGAGGCAAAGGCAGGCATTCAACCAACTGAGCCACCCAGGCGCCCCGAAAGCAGGAATTCTAACATATTTCTACATCCCTGTTCATAGCTGCATTTTCTCAATAGCCAAGAGGTTTGAGAAACCCAAGTGTCCATTGACAGATAAATGGATAAAACAAAATGTGGCATATACATACAGTGGGATATTATTCAGCCTTTAAAAGTAAGGAGATTCTGACACGTGCTACAGTGTGGATGAATCTTGAACACATGTCAAGTGAAATAAGCCAGTCACAAAAGGATAAATATAGGATTTTATTTATTTATTTATTTATTTATTTATTTATTTATTTATTTATGAGAGAGAGAGAGAGAGAGAGAGAGAGAGAGGCAGAGACACAGGAGGAGGGAGAAGCAGGCTCCATGCCGGGAGCCGGACGTGGACTTGATCCCAGGATTCTAGGATCGTGCCCCGGGCCAAAGGCAGGCACTAAACCTCTGAGCCACCCAGGGATCCCCTATGATTCCATTTATATGACATACTTGGAGTAGTCAAAATTCATAGAGACAAAAAGTAGAGTGGTGGATACAAAGGGCTAAAGGGAGGAGGGAATGGGGAGTTATTGTTTAATAATGGGTTCAGAGTTTCAGTTTGGTGCAATGAGAAAGTTCTGGAGATGGTTGATGGTTTTGGTGACACAACATTGTGAATGTATTTACCGTTACTGACCTATATAGTTGAAAATAGTGAAATCTTAAGTTTCATGTTCTATTTTATCACATTAAAAAATTTTTTAAAAGATTTTATTTATTTATTTATGAGAGACAGAGAGAGGCGCAGAGACACAGGCAGAGGGAGAAGCAGGCTCCATGCAGGAAGCCTGATGTGGGACTCCATCCCCGAACTCCAGGATCACGCCCTGAGCCAAAGGCCGGCACTTAACCGCTGAGCCACCCAGGCGTCCCACATTAAAAATTTTGTAAATCAGATCATAATCCTCTGCTCCAAATTCTCCAATGTCTACTTATTGCGCTCAGAGGAAAAGCTGGTAAGTCTTCACAATCTCCTTTAAGGCCCTGTGTAGTTGAACTGACCTCAAACTACTGGTCCCTTTAGTCACTCTATTCCAGCCATTTTGGCCATTTTCATGTTCCTTCAAAGTTCCCAGGCCTCTGACTTAGGGCTTTGAACTTGTTCCCTCTGCTTAGAATGCTCTTATTCCAGATATTCATGTGCTTCAAACCTTTACCTCCTTCAAATCCTGATTCAAATATCATATTTTACCGACTCTGATCATATTATTTAGAATTGCAACTTGCATCCCTGTATTCCCATTCCTCTCTCCTGCTTAATTTTTTTTCCACACCACTTACTATCATCTGATATACTACATTTTTACTTTTTTTTTTTTTAAGATTTTACTTATTTACTGGAGAGAGAGTGAGAGAACACGAACAGGGGCAAAGGGAGAGGGAGAAGTGACTCCTCGCTGAGTAGGGAGCCTGACATGGGACTTGATCCTAGGACCATGGGTTTATGACCTGAGCTGAAGGCAGACGCTTAACTGAATGAACCACCCAAGTGCCCTTATACATTTTTACTTTAAAAAACAAAACAAAACAAAAAACCTGCTTGCCTCCCTCTGACTAGAATGTGACTTCCACAAAGATAGGGATTTTTAAAAGAGATACTCTTAGGGCAGCCCAGGTGGCTCAGTGGTTTAGCACCGCCTTCAGCCCAGGGAGTGATCCTGGAGATCTGGGATGGAGTCCCATGTCGGGCCCCCTGCATGGAGCCTGCTTCTCCCTCTGCCTGTGTCTCTGCCTCTCTCTCTGTGTCTCTCATAAATAAATAAAATCCTTTTTTAAAAAAGATACTCATCACCAGAGATAGACATTTTATTTTATTTATTTTCTTATTTTTTAAGTAAGATCTATGCCCAACCTGGGGCTCAAACTCACAACCCCAAGATCCAAAGCCCTGCACGCCACCAAGTGAGCCAGCCAGGTGCCACTGTAGGCAAGGATTTTTGTTTGTCTTGTTTACCTGGTCTACCCCTAGCACCTGAAACAGTGCCTGGAGCATAACAGACACTCAATATTTGTTGATCAAATGAAAGAATAAATGTAAGGAGGTAAGGACAAAGATGGGACTAATTTGGAGCAAGCTGGAGTGATTAACATGAGAAGGGAAAAGAGGAGGTTAGAGGTGAAGTTGTAAATGTCATTAACATCTAGATTCCTGAGACCCTTGGATGGAGGGCTAAAAGTTCAAACCTAATCCATAGAGGAGAGTCACTGAAGGTTCATGAATACGGAACTGGCTTGTGCTGTGAGGTGGTGTGACCAAGTGACCAGGCTCTACTGTTGATAGGTCTAATGGTGTTATTTATTCAACAGGTGAGCCACAGGACA